ATGAATTCTACTCACTTTAAGACACAATTGGAGCATGGGTGTGCTGGGGTTTAAACATTAGAAGAGCTTGGAGCAAGGGATTGGAGTTTTCAAGACATTTGGAACTCCTTTTCTTTAGTTTTTCTATTTCTCTTCCCTTTGTCTCTTATAATCTTAAATGGTTCCAAGTTTTTTGTATATTTATAGCTTATGGATGATTATGAATAGCTAAATTTTTTGTTTTAGGATTATCTAAAACACTTTTATGGATTAACATTAAATTTCCCATATCTTTTTGTGATTAATGATGCGTGTGTGTGTGTGTTTTTTTTTTTTTACTCTTTTCTTAATACTTTTAAGTGTTTAGCTACCACTTAAATGTTGGATTCACTTGATTGATACTTAAGAGAGCTAGATTGAGTGTAGAACTTAGGTAAAATAGTGCAAAAACTTGAAGTTTACTTATTGAATGGATGGTTATGTTAGCAAGATAGATATACTTACTAGCATTGTATAGCCACATTAGAGTTAGTGTTTAAATTTGAGTTTTATTAATTGTAACAAGAGATTGAGTAATTAATTTAACTAAAGACTTATTCATGACTTGAGAGAACTTATCCAAATATTTTTAAAACTTTAGGTTAGCATTTATTTTTATTAAAAGCATTTAGGAGAGGAGATAATTTTGGTGTTATGAAATGCAATAAGGATAAAAAATCCTAGGTTCCATTTTTTGCTTAAAGTTTGTGAATAAATTACTTTTTTTTAGTATTAATTTAGTTTACAAAATTGACTTTCTCCTATAATTGTGTTTGACTCAACTTGATTGAATTCACTTCATTTTTTGTTTGATTGTTGTTTTTAAACAAATCCTAAAAAAAAAATGATACTTTACTCTCATTGTATTACTTGTTATAAGCCGTGCTATTGTGGAGAGCAACACTCACAGTTTGCTATAGGTCCCTGCACTTTTTTTGTATTTTAGATCCCTATACTTTTATTTTTTTTAATGTTTTAGGTCCCTAAATAAACAAAGTATAAGAACCTTGAAAGGACTTAGAATACCAAACAATGAAAAAGTAGAGACCTAAAATATTGAAAAAAATTTAGGGATCTATAGCAAAACGAGAGCAAAATGTAGAAATCAAAAGTTATATTTTTTTCAAAATTTTAATATGCATTAATTTTTATAAATGTTTACTTGTTTTTATTACTAAAAGTGACAAGTCCCTATTGGTAATTTAATAAATAATTATTTGTGAAATGACAAATGTCATTGCTAACTTTAAAAATTTTTCTTGATCATAAAATGACAAGTCTCATTATTGGCTTTGAAAATTTCTTCTGATAATTTGACAAATAAATTTTAATAAAATAACAAGTTCATATAATCTTTTGATGTGTAAACTTTTGGTAATAAAAATAAATAAATATTTATAAAAATCACTTTAATCTTTAACAAATCTTTATTGTTAATTTAAAAAGTATTATTAGCTTTAAAAAAATTTCTTAATAATTTAACAAGTATATTTTAGTAAAATAATAAATTCATATAAACTTTTAAAAATAATTAATGATTGCACATAAATTTAATATTTTTTTTATGTAAAACAGGTAGTCTCACTTTTAAGTTACAAAAGTAATTCCTCTTAATCATTAAATTATAATCATTTCAGTTCTCTCTATTCAAAAAGTAAATATTAGATTTTGGTAAAAAAAAAAAAGTAACATTAGATAAGCATTATTAATAAAATCTTACTTTTGTTAAATTGTATTATAATTTGAAACAATATAATACTTCTAAAATTATTTCATACTCCCTCCATTAAATTATATAAGATATTTTTAACTAAATTTTATATCTAATAAAGTAGTTTTTTATTTTCAAACTAACACTATCTTTTCATATTTATATTTATTCAATAAGAAGTTTCACCCTAAAATAAATATAAAATAATTTATTTAATAGAATAATTTTTTTTAAAAAAATAATAATTATATTTTAAAAGATTAAAAATATTTAATATTTTCAAACATTTAATTTTTAAAAATATACCTAACATTTTGTTGGGAAGTAATTTTGAAAGGAGAGAGTAATGTATTTTATAATAAATGTTTTATTCTTTCTTTTTTTTTAGATACGACGGAAATAAAAAAATGTTTTATTTAAATTGGTTTATCATCTCCAATGAGTGCGCAACACGGCATAGACGCTGCGGAAGTGCGGAACACAGAGAACGTGCTGGCATTTCGCAATCAGCAAAGCCTGATTCTCCTGTTTCATACCTTCTTCATTATTAGCCAGCACCTAGCAGCCCCTCCGTCACTACGCTACCTCTTCCCCCCATCGCTTCTCATGCTCTCTAGCTTCCCATCCGTCTTCTGATCAGATGGGTCCGTAATCCAACGGTTGATAAATCACCAAAGGATCATGATGAGCCTCAACGGTCGAGTAGAAAAATGGACCTAATGGAGCAGGGAAACCGACAGCGGGAAAAGACAGCTATTCGGTGCGGATAATTGGAACGCGGTTCCCTATAAAATGACACGTGTCACCACTCATTTCTCATGTTCGGAATGTTAGTCAGAAAGTTACGAGAAAAGCTAGTCAGACAACTAAGATTGCATTGTTCTCTTCCACTCCAACAACGCGCCGTGCCATGTTACCGTAACTTGTATTCAAAGCCTTTGTTTTGCTGCATGAAATTCCATCCCCGTCCGTGAATGCTTTGTCTGTTCGCACTACAACTTATCATTATCTCCTAACTACTATTTTCCCTGCTCTGTCTTTTAAAATTTTTTTATCCTTTAATATAAGAAATTATTAACATATTTTTTAATAAATAAATTATTATACTCTTATTAAATTAAAAATAAAAAATATAAATACTTTTATTAATTTATTTTAAAAAAAGAGAATATTTTTTATTTACACTAATTAAGGATAAAATTAAAATATTAATATAATTTTAATTAGATAATTAATTTTTATTAATTTACGTAATTTGATTAACAATATTTTATATATAATGACGAAAAAAATATCTACTAAATACTAAATCAAACTCATGGGTTGGAGATAAATATAGGATTAAGGTGCCAAAATATCTGCAACTTTTTTTCTTCAAAAACTTGCGATATTCTTGAGTCCAAAACAGTGATTGAATACTTATTAACATTATTAAAAAGAAATTAACCTTTTACAATCCGTTAAAATATATATTTTGAGTATTATATAATATAATGACATGTCAATTATTCTATAATATACATCCTTGATCTTGTATACTTAACTAAAATGTCTTATCATATACTTAAAGCGCTAATTTTTATGAAAAAAAAATTGAATTAAGGTAAATGAATTTTTTTCACAATTTAAATTTACACTCTTTATATATATATAAAAAATATTTTACTGGTTCAAACTCTGAAAAACTTGCCTCTTAGTTCAATTTTACTTTGAGTAACGTTGCGACAGTTTTCGTCTTTCAAGGGATTCAGTTTGCTACCGTCAAGTCATATTTGACTAAACTAACTTCAGTTAATAAAATAACAGTTTTTTTAAACAAATTGTGGTGGTTTATAATTATCCTTATAATTGAGACAGAGTTAAATCACCCAGAGAAACCAGGCAAAAACTAGTTGTTAAAAAAAATGAAATACGCTATTTTAAATATTTAATTAATTTTGACTCAAACGGTTTGGATTTTATTTTTTATTTTAATTTTTTTCATAATAGAAAGTTAGTGAGAAATTTTAAAAAATACAATTTAAATAATTTAAATTAAATACTGAAGATCTAAATGTTGATTTAAAAAATATAACATGGTGTATGACTTGTCTCGAGACAACATTAATTCCAAATGGAACAGGCAAAAACCGTCAAATCCAATGAACGATGCAAACCATATCGTTGAACTTGGTTTACAGAGCAGGGTTTGTTGAATAGGTTCTAATTAAGTATATATCTTGCCTTTCAAGTCATTTCATAGATAATTAACATATTCATTACTCAAAGGGGCAAGTCCAACTGGGTGCTCACTGCAAAAATTGAATTAGTGAATAGCTTAGCCTTACTTAACTAACAAAATTGTTGCTTTTTGGACTGCAAGGAAGTCTGGAAGGGTGTCCATGTCAAGAATTCATTTTTTTTTTTTAAAGAGCAAGTCTAGCTTCAAAATATTGTAAAAAATATCGCAGACAAGCTTTTTATACAGTAATAATAATAATAAAAATAATAATAATAATAATAGTTGTAGTAATAGTAATAGTAGTAATAATAATGATAACTATCATATGATTAAATATTGAAATGATTTTACTAATATTTAAATTTTTACTATTTTCAAGGAAATTCATAGCAAAAGTGTGTAAAATAATCCCTATAATTATACATAACTCTACTTCATACCAACGCAATTTTTTAAATCATATGAATAATAATTAGTTAATTTTGATCCCCGTCTTAAAATAGGATCTTGAGTCTTGTGAATTAAAAAGAAAAAAAAAAAGATCTTTACCATTATATGACCTAGCTACTTGATGCAAAGAATTAGGTTCAGGTTCAAGTTCAATGTATTATGAACGTAAAGAGTTCCTATTTCCTAATGACATGAATAAACTTTAAAATCATATGAAAACGATTTCAAATAAACTTTAAAATAAAGGGTATCATCAATCAAATATCAATCAAATATAAAATTTATGTTATGTTCATGAATCATGAGCCATCAGCCCATATAACATTCATAGGTTATAAATGATGTAATTTATTTCCGAACCTCCGTATAAGAATAGACTAAGTACATTACTAACTAATTTTTATCATAAACATAAAATAAAAAACTGAGTAAAGGTAAAACGATAGGGAATCTTATTTCTCGATTGAGCAATCAATAAACCAATGGCCAAGGAATTAACCGGGGGCAAAAACGTCATTATGAATAAAATCATTTTCACGATGAGAGAAGGTGGTGCATATATAACCGGACTAGCAATCCGAGATCGAAGAATGGCGCATTGCCTGGTCTGTTGTTCGCCTTTGATTTCGGAGTGTCTCCTTCTCACCTTCTCAAACCAACACAGCCATTCAAACAGGCGAACCCTCCCTCCAACCTTCAACGACACCTCTCCAATCCCCACATTTTCTCTCGCCCACCACCAAAATTGAACATAACTCTTGGGACTCCTTCTTCCGACGAAATTTCAATCTTTTTTAAAGGTTTTTCAGAATTTGATTGCCATTTATAGATAATTTTCCGGCACCGGCGATGTCGTCTGGCGGTCCTACGGGCTCCTGCAACACCAGCCCAAGGATGTCGGGGCCTACCACCACTAGACGACGCGTCGCAGACAATATGGACGCCGAGAAACAGACTGCCTTTTCAGATTTCTGTGAGGTCGAACAAGACGACACCAACGGCTCTAATGCTTCTGTTTCTGCTTCTTCTGCTGGGTCCCACCACCATCATAACAACCACCTTCACCCCGTGATTCGGTTTCTCCTGCTTCGCATGCGGATACTCTTCTTTGTGTCCGATTCGTTCGTCCTTCGCATTGAACACTTTTTCCTCTGGCTTGCCACGGTGATTCAGTCGATGAGATCCGGCAAGAACAGGGGTCGTAAGATTCTAGGGATTTTTATGTTCTTGATAGTTATACCTCTTATCGTGAAGGTATCGTTGATTGGTGGTCTCATGGAGGTTAAAGGGAGGAGTATAGGGCATGGTCATTTGATCTTGCAGAGGTTCAAAGAGGACTGGGTATCGGCGCAGAGAGTTCTCACCGAGGCCCAGACGGAGCCCTCCATGCCCAAGCGAGTTCTTGAGAGGGTATCTGTAAGTTAACATTTCTCATCGCTTTAATCAGTGTGTTGTTATTAAGAATCTATCGCTTTCATCTGAAAGGAAATAAAGTTCCATACAGATCCTGTGTCTCCTCATAAAACTCTCTAACTTTTAGGTGTAATTAACTTTGGTTTTTTGGTAATTTATTGAAAGTTAAATCTTTAGAAATAATAAGCTTATTATGAACGGCCTTTTTGACGAGTCACTTGATGAAAAAGAATTGAGATGCAGGATTTTGTTACTTTGGAGGGCTAAATAACTATCGGAAACAGAAGCATCAACCTCTTTCTTGTTTTTTTGTTTTTTGTTTTTAATTGTTTTTTGCTTTGGGGTGACCCCGTATAATTCACGGAAATGTAAAAAAGGTAAATTTTAGTGATGGAGCTCAACTTTTCGAATTGCTTCTTTTTCTTTTTTGTTTTTATATGCATATCAATTCAACTTTCGTTTGATTTTTCTTCCAGTGGTGGGGTCAGACTTTGGATATTTAATCAAGCTGTTTCATTCGTAATTTCTGCTTTTTGGGGTGCGAGTTTTGGTCTTGGTTTTAAACGCTGATGATGCTTTGCTGTAGCATTCTAAGCAAAATTGGTAATATTAATTTTGCCTTCACACTTCGTTGACTCAAAGGCTGACGGCAAAAATGCCCCTTGAATATTAGGCACTGGCAAAGGTGGCGCTGACCAAACACTAACATGGATTTCAATTTTTCCTTTTCATTCTCTCATATGGCAGCTCGTGCATGTTGATTTGATTGATAATATTTGGATGCTTTTTAATTTCTTGAGTTGTAATGTTTTTCTTGGTAATATCGCTGCTCCTGTGAGAACATGACGGTGGCATAATTATTATTTCTTTTACTTTTTTCTGTTCTTTCAATAGACTCCCGAGATATGGATGAAACCCAATAGCGACAACTATTATAAATGCATTTCACGATCCGGGAATAGAACCGGTTTGTACTAATACTCTTGATTTTTGTCAAGCATCGCTGCGCTAAATTCTAAATGAAGGCTTTGCTGACTTGTCTTTCCACTTTTCTGTCTTTCAGAGACACAAACAAATGGCTATCTTCTTGTTCATGCTAATGGCGGGTTGAATCAAATGAGAACAGGAGTAAGCTTCCCTTATGTTTCAACAGTTTTTTCCTAAATGGTATTTTCTCGTCTAACTCTTGGAAGCTTTCACTGGCTTTGCAGATATGCGATATGGTTGCAGTGGCAAAGATAATGAATGCCACCCTTGTCCTTCCATCTCTCGATCATGATTCCTTTTGGACTGATCCAAGGTCAAAGTTTCATTTAATAAAAGTGGTTCTTGCAAGTAAACTTCTCATATTGTCATTTCCTCCAACACGTAACGCGCCTAATATTTTTCAGTGGCTTTAAAGATATATTTGACTGGAAGCACTTCATCCAAGTCTTAAAACCTGACGTTGAGATAGTTGAGTATCTGCCAGTCAAATATGCAACTATAAAACCTCTCGTGAAGGCTCCTATTTCTTGGTCAAAGGTGTGAAATCCAGTTTGAATGCTTAACTAGATTCAAACAATCATCTTAGTGGTGTAGTGTCCTTAATCACAGATGTTTCATTTGCAGGCTAGTTACTACAGAGGTGAGATTCTCCCATCATTAAAGCGACATAAGGTCATTCAATTTACACACACAGATTCCCGAATAGTCAACAATGGCCTTGCTTCCTCTCTTCAGAAGCTCCGATGCCGTGCCAACTATGAAGCTCTAAGGTACATCCCAGACATTGAGGAGCTTGGGAGGACTTTGGTTGATAGGCTAAGAAACTATGATGAACCATATATTGCCCTTCATTTAAGGTATTTTAGATTATAATAGTCCTTTCTCGTTACTTATTACACCTGTGATACATTAAACTTAAGTTTTCTTTTCTTCCTTATTTTATATTCAAAATAGATACGAGAAAGATATGCTAGCTTTTACTGGCTGCAGTCACAACCTTACTGCCGAGGAGGCTGAGGAACTTAGAATAATGAGGTACGGAGTCCAGCATTGGAAGGAAAAAGACATTGATGCTGTTCAACGACGACTAGAGGGTGGTTGCCCTATGTCCCCTAGAGAGGCAGCTATCTTTCTCAAGGCCATGGGTTACCCTTCCACTACAACAATCTACATCGTTGCAGGGCCTATATATGGTCGCAATAGCTTGTCTGACTTGACTGCAGAGTATCCTAATGTCTTCACTCATTCCACCCTTGCAACTGAAGAAGAGTTAGAGCCTTTCAAGCCATATCAGAACCGCCTTGCTGCCTTGGATTACATTGTGGCGCTGGAGAGTGATGTCTTTGTTTACACTTACGATGGAAATATGGCCAAGGCTGTGCAGGGCCATAGGATGTTTGAAGGATTCAGGAAAACAATTAATCCTGACAGGTAAACATCAATCAGATGCCATTATCATTTTTGTTTGGGTAAATTACAGTTTAGTTTTCCATGCTTTGGTCCAAAATCATATTACACCAGGTGCTTCAATCCAGTATCACTTCACCATGATGGATGTTCCATCTAAAAATTGAATCGAAATAATCGTGTCAACATTTAAATGAAAAAAAGTTGTGTTGAAAGTCTGTAGCACTTACATTGTTTATCATTCTAAGATTCACGCGATAGGGGAACAATTATTTTGAGCCAAACCACGAGATGAACTTTGATTTATCATTTTCTTTTCTTTCCAAGTTTTGGTTGGCATGGTGTGGTTGAGATGCACTGATTCCCCCCCCCCTCCCTAAATCTATTTCAGAATGAATTTTGTTAGATTGATTGACCAGCTTGATGAGGGTACCATGTCTTGGGAAGATTTTTCTTCCAAGGTTAAAAGTCTGCATTCGAATCGGCTGGGTGCGCCTTATCTTCGGCAGGCAGGTGAGTCACCTAGGATGGAGGAAAATTTTTATGCCAACCCCTTTCCTGGTTGTGTCTGTAACAAATCTCAGGAATTCATCACAAGCCTGAAACTTGACCAGAGACTGAATCTAGCTGCTGAGTCACAAAGATAGTATTTTTTCCGCTATGACTATCCCATGCACCTTTGTTCATGATAGATTATGAATTTATGATGTCACTGCCTAAGAGGCACATTCGGGTTGTGGTGGAAAACGTACTTCATTTCACAGCCTGGTTGATGGTAGGCTGCTGTGAATGATCAAGGAGCTTTTCGGGTTTTCATGCCACTAAAAGAGGAGTTTCTGTTTAGGCAAATTCCGTGAGAAGGTCAAAAGGAGGCCAAACAATGTAGGAAGTAAAGGCCAGTCGCGAGTTAGTTTATAGTGTGAGATTGATTGAGAATTTGAGATTGGAGAGTATATATCCCCATTGGTCTGAGAGTTATACCATTCGTTCGTTCATTCGTTGATTCTTGCTTTGACCATAAGTTGCTCACAGAGAGAGCATCATCTGATTTTTGAATGTAACATTTGATACAGTCCGGAGTAGAAGTTTAGCTTCACACGTTGACGTAGATGTATTGTTAATAATATATTCTGTTATTTGGTGTTGCCACTGTACAATTATTATTCCTTCATGTACTGAAAAGGTTGTGATTTTGAAAAATTCAAAAGAGTTCAGAGATGCTTTTGGTTAATTTTTAAAGCAAATACAATGCAAGCTTCTTTGAAAAAATTATTTGCATTTTGGCCCTGCAAATACTATGCGAGTTTTTTCTAATGAAAATGTGATCCATTACTCAAAAAAATACAAAGTCCAGAGTAGAAGCTAAATCAACAGCTTCTTATCATCCGGATAAACTGTAATTTTATGGAAACAATTTAGTCATGGGTCAAAATCTTTTAATTTTTTAACATTATCAGTAGGAATCTGAGGTATATGATATATCATAGAATTTTCAAGGGACATTGTTATAATAGAAAAATTGGCTATAAATTTAAAAAGAATTAACTGCAAGAAGTTACTTCATTATAAATAAGAGGTTCTTGGGCTCTGATGAATGCTTATTATTCTTGTTCAATAATAGTAGTTCTCAGACATGGAAGGATAATCTTATTTTGCCAATGAACCAACTTTCTCATAGCGTAAAATCAATGTATCAATCAAATAACATTATTAGTAAAATAGAAGCTATATATTATTCACAAGTTCTAAAAAAATGGTTGATTTTTTATATTTTGCACAACATAGTGGAAAATAATGATTATAACTTCGGACTCTGAAATTTAAAATAACATATCTTTCTCACATGAGTGATAATAATTATACATCTTGGCATATTTTTTCAGGTCAAGTATTTTTTCTCAGTTTTTTTTTTTGTCTTAATATGTTTAGGTGGAGATAAAATAGGGTCTATTTTGTACATTACATAAACAAGTCAAACTATTGCACCATCAGACTAGTGACTACTCAAACCTTATTTTTCAAGGCTTCAAATCTTACCTTCCATAATTAGATTTCTAGGAGGCTTGTCACCTACTTTAATTAAGGTAACAAAAATGTGATTAAAAAAACAGCTATTTGTCCTTATATAATAAAATATAACAAATGCCTCAAATTAAACTCTGTTGAAGGATTTGACCACAGAGAATTAGAGATGTACTTTTGCAATATTCCCACGCAGTCATAACATCCGACGGATACCCAACAGGTACGTTGGCAGAGTCATTCTATACCGTTCGATCCTGGCGCTGACGACTGCCAAGCAAACTGTGCAGTCCAAATGGTGGAGGGGGTTTCGATATTCCTAAGATGTTCTTCTCGAAATTTCTAAACTTCACGGCGGGGTTTTCTGTTTGTACACCTCATCATTAGTTGCCGGAACTGGAGTTTGCCGTTTCTGAACTGTTTCGTTTTTGGGTTCATCATTTTCACAGGTGAGAACGAAAGTCTCCTCGTTCTGATCATTTGAATCTCTGCTTTGAGCCACCCTTCGGTGATCTCATCCTTGGGGTTGTAAAATCTTTAATTATATGTTTTTTTTTTTGTTGATTTTACTAGATATGAGTTTGAACATGGGGCTTTGTTGCTTATGATCCATTCTATTGTATGTTGGTAGTTATGGTAAATTTGTATAAATTTGTGTTCCTGGGGTTTTAAGTTGATAACGTCAATAATAGATTTGTTTCGGATGAAAGGATTCCCAAGTTGTTCTTGCTGACCAAACTGACTGCAAATTACTTCCGATTTTTTTTTTTTTAAAAGCTCTCGATCTTTGCCTACAATGAATAAGCGCGAGAAATGAACTGTGCAAAATTAGGATGCCAATATTGAAGTATACCTAGATTTCCTTTTGGATACCTGAATTCCACGCCTTCCCGACTCTGAAGCACCTATGATAACACTTCAAATCAAATTACATTTGAAGTTTAAACTCTTTATATCTTGTGGCCATGTGATCGTTGCCTCTTTTCTTATCTATTTTGTTATGGCTATTACTCACAATGTATCTCAGAACACGAGTATACTGTATAGACATATATGACATGAGATTTGTAACACCTGAGGGGCTTGAAAGATTGTTGAGAAACAGGATCTAGCCACAACCATAGGGATATGACATTAACTATCAAGAAGATCTTTTTGTTTCAATTTTCTTTGGGTTCCCCGTTGGTTGAGCCTTAGCATTAAACATTGATGCATCTTGAACCAGTTGGATTCTTAGTTGACCCCACCAATGTTTGGTAGCTCCATGGTCAAATTCTTTCTCACTCTCTTCCCTTCATCATCCTTTGTTTTTCCACTAGTAAACATATGTTTGCCATTCTTCAAAGTTGGTAAAGTGTGTATCTATGTTGATCGTAAAGAATTATTTGGCTGTTGATATTGTGCAGAAAATGGGTTTCTGGACCTTGTTAGAAGGGTTTCTGCTCTTTGCAAATGCATTGGCAATACTGAACGAAGATCGTTTTCTTGCTCCCAGAGGATGGACAATAGCAGAAGTAACTGGGCCCAGGAGGAATACTCTCAAGGGGCAGATTGTAGGGCTCATACATGCATGCCAATTCTTGAGACTTCCCCTTATACTGTTGAATATCATCACCATAATTGTGAAGCTCTTCACTGGTTGAGTTGGAGAGACTGAATGAAAATCTATGTTCACTTTATGAACTTATAAGCTATACCAGCATCATCAATCGTGTATTGTTATTTTCTGTTCCCACCTGCAGCTGCATGTCGTTGCTTTTACGGTTGCTTGGAAATGGAATGTGAGGGAATTTTAATTTCTGGAGCCTCTGGAAACTATGTATAGATGTAACAAATTGAGAAAATGTAAAATTTATTTTCTATCTATGTTGCGAATTATACAAAGATGATTTTTTTTCTCGATATGTCAAGCTTAAATGTTTGATAGGTATGCCAGGGCCTAGGGAGATGAATGATCAAGATGCTCGTATATCGATCTCAAAAGGGAAAAGTACCATTTACCTTTTTGAAATCTAGTTATAACTTTAAATTTAACATATAATCAAGGAATAATAAAACTTTTAATATTTTAAGATTGTTTTAGTTATCGATTTAATTTTTCAAATTTAATTTTTATTAATTTAGCTTAAATTAATTATCAATTTAATATACTGTGTTAAGTATATTGATAAATTATCATGTATGTATAGTTAAATAATAATAAATTATCTTTTAAATTAATTTGATTTTTATCAATTTAGTTTTCAGTGTTAAAATTTTTTCCTTCTGTTAAATTTAAATTTCAGGAATTAAAAATTTTATTATCCTATTAATCAAACACATTTCTAAAAGGAGGATAGAACACTCCTCGTGTGCTGGTAGAAAGAACACTTCTCATGTCATGAGATTAATGTCATTTTTGAAAGTTTAGGAAAGAACAAAATGAAATCAATAGTGATGGAATGAAAATTATTGTTATTTTTGAAAGTTTAGGAAAGAATAAAATGAGATCACTCGTAATGGAATGAAAATTATTGTTTCGAGAGATTTTAATAGTTGGATTTCCATGAAAATTAATTAGAAGAAATTGGCTTAATGACTGTGAAAAATATATTAACAAAAAATTATTGAAGAAGTTTTTGAAAATTGTGAAATGTGGTTTATTTACAATTAATTGGGGTGTGATGTTCCCCTTTTATTCCCAAAACAAATAAAAAAAACTTGTACAAAAGAATAGTAAAATTCTAGTAATTGAATGATTATAACTGTGACCCATTAACAACTATATGCCACTTCAATATTTGAACACTTTTGAGTATTTCATTATTAGTTTAGTGGGCATAATATATTTTAGATTTGAGAATGAGAATATTCAGATTTGAGGAGAAATGATCTTTTGTAATTTCAATTTAACTTGAATATTAATCCAGCCACATTGCAAAATATTTGAAATGTTAGGTTATTATTTTTGTTCAATCCTATGTGTAAAAATTCCAATTAATCATAGAGATTTTTTTATGAAAGAAAAAAAAAAGAAAGTATTTTTTTTTCACTCAAGGTATTACCGCAGTCGACAACCATAAGGCTAATCTCTCGAGGAATTTGAGTGCTATTTAAAGGGTTATCCTCTCTCAACTAATATCTTTTTATACACACCTCCAAAAATTAAACCCTAAAATAATATTTAAGGAGTCCAAGCTACTATCATCTATGTTACATTTGCTACCAACTGCTACCTCTATGAGTTGAGTGATCGCTCTGGCAAGTGTACGAGATCACAGTAATAAATTACCCAGAGCATTTTAGGTGTCGAACCCACGAGGAAGTTAAACTTTTACTAATTTAAATAATTAATAGTTTAAGAAAAATAGATAAAATGGATAAATTTGATAAAAATATAAGGAATAAAATTAAATCAAGAAAATAATGATGATAAAAACACAATCACTTGAAGCATTGGGATTTAGGATTCACCCTATAGGTTGCTAGTTTCTACCTTTTGAGTTGACTCGAATCAATTATAGTGACAACTATTCCTAAGGTGTCCTAATATTCTCTGAATTATTAGTTCTTTTTTAATTAGTCTTGAATTCATTTTCGCGATACCCAAACAACTAATTAAACTGTGAATCTATAGTTTAAGTCACCATAAATTTGTAGAACTATCCCTAACCTAGTTATTTATGTTTATTTCTCTAGATCTAGGTTCTCTCTTCACCTCCCAATCTATCAAGATTATCCATAGATTTGATTAAATGGTGGCCAGTCATTAAATTAATATGAAGAACAAAAGAAATAAATATAATTGAGAAAAAGCAAAAATATTCATAAATATAAATGCAAATAGTCAAAATAAAGGAAATAGAAAAATAGCTCCACAATTGGGCTAATCCTTATCCCAACTGGGTAATTTAAAAACATATAATAAAATCAAATAAAATCATTCTAAAATCCCCAATCATGAAAAATGATCACAGAGAAAATTAAGGAGTAGAAAAGAAATAATTATAATTTGTGAAACTCCTCAATAATCTCACTTTTAACCTTCAGAATGCTTTCACAAGCTCCAAATATCTCAAAGAGAATTTTTAAGGTACTTAAATAAGTGATTGGATGCCTTCTCTCTTGATAAAGGGAGTATTTATAGTTAAAGTAGAGGCTCTTTCTTTTGTTCCTTGTCGATGTGAGACTCTAATATATATATATATATATATTTTTTTTTTCTTTTATTTTATTTGGTTTATTCTTTTTCTCTACAAAATATAAAGATAAAAAGATATGAGTAAATTTTATATTAAAATTTCTTTTTATCTTATAATTAAGTGATGAGGGAAAAATATATAAATATCAATTAAATAGATATGAAATCTTAATAAATATAATCAAATTCAAACTAAAATTTACACCTATTTAATTATAAAATATGCACTTATTAAATTCCCCCACACTTAGCTTGTTGCTTGTTCTCAAGCAAATACTTCAGCGTTTAGCCTTATTCTTTAAATAAGTATATCAAATACAGGAACTTTACTCAAAGTACTAGTAAAACTTAATTGTATAACCAACCTACAGAGCTTCAATGTGAGAGAGAAAGCTAATAATTATACTAGTACCACCACAAGGAGTGAATTAAATTCTGATTGAGCACTTATCTGTAAAATAAATTTGTCTATACCCTTAGACTTTACCTATTTCCTTTTTTGAGTTGGTGCAACAGGGTCACCATCCTTAACTATTCATGAATTGCCTTTCTTTTTAAATACTTCTTAGGTCCTTTTGACGTGAACCCTCATATTGATGATATAAGGGTCCAGTTACTCAAACTTCAAGAACTTTATTGGCACACTCTTGATACTTACTAAGCTGTTTGACGCGAAGGCCAACATTGGTGATGAAGGTCCCCGATTACTAGGCCTAGTTGGCATCAGTGGAGTGGGTACTCAGCAATTTTTTTCTCTCTCTTTTTTTTATAGGATCATTCCCCCTTTTAATTACTTTGCAAGGTGTTAGCTTTCTAGGCATAGATATAAATAATTAGGATAGATAATTCATGCATTAAATATATTTTTGATAAACTCCTATGGGATATTAACAGTTTTAAATTCTTTTTTCAAACACATAGTTACCCTCAGTAGTTATATAACTAAATAAAATAGTACAAAAGAGCAAAAAGTTGTAAAAAAATTCAAAAAATTTCAAAATTAAGGCTGATTATAGCATGTAAATTGCTAAGGAAATTATAACAGCATAAGCAATAAAAAATTATCATAATATTCCCTTCCCCACACTTAAATTTCACATTATCCACAATGTTTGCAAAAAAGGAAAAAGATATAGGAACTGAAACTCTGCTGATTTAATTTTTTATATATAACTTTAATAACCTTTAAGAAGCTCCCTTTTAAGCATTGTAATCCTGTAATTCATCTTAGAGGGAGTTTTAGTGATCAAATAAAATTTTATGGGGATAACAGACAGTAAAAAGAAATTAAAATAACAAAAAAAAGGAAATAAAAATAAAATTGGGTTGCCTCCCAATAAGCACTACATTTAATGTCTATAACTAGACATTGCTGTGAAAATCAAGAGATTCCTTTTGAGTATGGTAGAAATTATTGTCCTCCTAAATCAGAAGACACCTTCTTATTCCAACTAATATTTATCTTCTCCTTGGAGAGGGTTCTTGTTAATGAGTAAGGGACTTTCCAATTTGATTTCAATATATGAGTGATAGAGCTTTTGTGAGGACTAGTGAGCAGATTTTTAGGTTGCCTTTATAGCTCCCTCCCTTCTCCATTGCTAATTTCCTCCTCTTTATTTTCTAAAGTATGTAAGGGAGGATCTTTTGGGTATTTCTCCTCTTCCTGTGTCACTTGTATGCTACATAAATTTAAATATCTCTTTTTCCTCACCTACTTTGAATATTAATTCTCCCTTAGGCACATTAATTAAGGCACCTCTAGTGGCTAAAAATGATCTTCCTAATATAAGTGAGACATTTCAATTATCTTCAATGTCTAAAATAATAAAGTCTGCAGGAATATAAAGTTTACCGACTTTCACTATGACATCCTCAACTACACCATATGAATATTTGAGTGATCTATCTGCGAGTTGAAGAGTCACATTGATCGGTTTGATATTTATTATACCAAGTTTCTTGCATAGAGAATAAGGCATTAAGTTAACACTAGCACCCAAATCACATAAACAATTTTCAATAATATTACAACCGATATCACAAGGAGTAGTGAAACTCCCTGGATCCGTCAATTTGGGTGGTAGCTTTTTTTGTAGAATCGTATTACACTCTTCTATAAGTGTAACCGTGGCATATTCTTCTAACTTTTTCTTGTTTGAGACCAGATCCTTGATATATTTGGCATAAGCAAAGATCTTTGCCAATGCCTCTATAAAGGGAATATTAATTTGAATTTTTTTTGAACATCTCAAGGAATTTTTGGAAGCCTAAATTTGAATCTTTTTGTGGAAGGCACTCGGGGTATGGAATGGGGGCATATAAGGTTTGGCTTCAGAGGGAGAATGCCTACTTTTAGTTCCACTATCGACCTCTTAGGATTCCTTACCATTCTGTATGATGACTACCATAACTTACTCTTGTGGATTGACTTCGATATTGCTTGGAAGTTTACTTTGACTCTTTCCAGTAACTAAGCTAGCCAAATTGTTTATTTGAGTCTCCATATTCCTCAAAGAATTACCCATTTGAGATTCTATATTCTTTATAAAAGCTTGAGTTGAAGTAATTGTTTGTTTTAGTTAGTCAATCTCTTGATTAATACTCTTCATGCTATTCACTTGGTAAGTTGCCATTTGAGCCAAAGCTTCCTCCAACTTCGTTGTACGATCTTCAATTATGTTTCTTTATTGTTGAAAGCCTGGCTGTGCTTGTGGCCCCTGAGTAGAGAAATTCTTCCAAGAGAAATTTGGATGATTTCTCCATCCAAGGTTATATGTGTTGGAGTATGGGTCATTCCTTAAATTAATTGGATCATTACTAGCTTCCATATAATTAGCCTCCTCCACATAGTCACCATCACAACATGTATGAAGAGAATTATTAGTAGAAGAAAGGGAATTAACAGAACCAAAATTTTTCAATAATAAATTCAAACTCTTTATTAAATCCCCTAGTTCATGTGAGACATCTGATATAGAAACTTCATTAACCATCGCCCTCTTTCCTCAAACTGCCTCCTGCCTTCAATTTGCTGCTAGCATTTTATAAATCTCCTCCCTTTTTTCAGCTGTCATATTACTTGGATCACTTCGAGCTACATTATCAACTTTTGATTGGCATTCAACATTAAGCCCATTATAAAAAAAAATCCATCAAGAGTATGTGTGGAAATTGGTGATGAGAATATTGGCTTATGAGGAGATTATAACGTTCCTAGGCCTCATGAAACAATTCACTATTTTGTTGTGTGAAGAAGTGAATTTTATCTCTTAATTCTGAAGTTTTTTAAGGAGAATAATATTTCAATATAAATTGCTCATACATCTCCATCCAAGAGCTTATGGAAGCTTCTAGTAATCATAAAAGCCATTGACAAGCTTCTTCTTTTAAACAATACAGAAAGCAATGTAGCTTTAAATCATCATTCGATAGATTATTTAGCGGTAGTGTATCAATTACCACATAAAATTCTCGTATAAAATCCAAGGCATCTTCAATTCGGTGCCCGTTGAAATTAGGTAGCGCATTTAAGTAAATATTCTTAAATTCATAATTACGTGTTCTCGTACTCAGTTGGATGCATGACAGATTAGATGTGATGAATGGGCATTGAATATCTATAAATGTAATGGATGGCTCTAGAATAGTTTCATCACCCATCTTTCTTCTTCTTTGAGATATATTTTTCCTGCAAAATCGTTCAATTTCTAAATTAATAGGAATCAAATTTAAATCACCAGAACTTCTTAGTTGCATAAAAAAATAAAATAAAAAATTAAAATGAACTAAAAATTAAATAGTTAGTAAACTTGTGACTTCCCCGGCAACGGCGCTAAAAACTTGATCACTCTCGTAAGTGTATGAGATCACAGTAATAAATTATCCAGAGTATTTCAGGTGTCGAACCCACAGGGAAGTTATACTTTTATTAATTTAAATAATTAATAGTTTAAGAAAAATAGATAAAATGGATAAATTTGATAAAAATATAAAGAATAAAATTAAATCAAGAAAATAATGATGATAAAAACACAATCACTTGAAACGTTGGGATTTAGGATTCACTCTATGGGTTACTTGTTTCTACCTTTTGAGTTGACTCGAATCAATTATAGTGACAACTATTCCTAAGATGTCCTAATATTCTCCTGAATTATTAGTTCCTTTTTAATTAGTGTTAAATTCATTTTCACGATACCCAAACAATTAATTAAACCGTGACGTTATAGTTTAAGTCATCATAAATTTCGAGAACTATCCCTAACCTAGTTATTTATATTTATTTCTCTAGATCTAGGTTCTCTCTTCACCTCCTAATCCATCAAGATTACTCATAGATTTGATTAAATGGAGGTCAGTTATTAAATCAATATGAAGAACAAGAGAAATAAATATAATTGAGAAAAAGCAAAAATATTCATAAATATAAATGTAAAGAGTCAAAACAAAGGAAATAGAAAACTAGCTCCCCAATTGGGCTAATCCTTACCCCAACTGAATAATTTAAAAATACATAATAAAATTAAATAAAATCATTTTAAAATCTTCAATCATAAAAAATGATCACAAAGAAAATTAAGGAGTAGAAGAGAAATAATTATAATTTGTAAAACTCCTCAATGATCTCATTTTCAACATTCAGAATACTTCCACAAGCTCCAAATATCTCAAAGAGAATTCTTGAGGTACTCAAATAAATGATTGGATGCCTTTCTTCTTGATGGAGGGAGTATTTATAGTTAAAGTAAAGGCTCCTTCTTTTGTTCTTTGTCGATGTGGGACTCTAATATATATATATATATATATATTTCTCTTTTCTTTCTATTTGATTTATTCTTTTTCTTCACAAAATATAAAGATAAAAAGATATGAATAGATTTTGTATTAAAATTTCTTTTTATCTTTTAATTAAGTGATGAAAAAAATATATATAAATATCAATTAAATAAATATAAAATTTTAATAAATATAATTAAATTTAAATTAAAATCTATACCTATTTAATTATAAAATATATACTTATCATTGAGATTTTTTTTTTTTGGGGGCCAGCAAAATGAGATTGGTAACCGTCACGCGTTCATCTAATTTAAATAAAATTTAAAACATGACGTTTGAAGAATCTTTGTTGCCCCAAAGCTTGGGGGCAAGTTCATGTTCAGTAATTATGAATGGTTCTTTTTCTTACACATTCTGAGAGACGTGGGCTCCAATCGTTGAATTTAAATTCAGCCCAAAAAAAAAAATTCTATTTAAAGTTTTTGCATTGAATTTATCTTCTTAATAATGCACTACTCCATGCTAATGACAACGTTAATTGCTTTGTAATGAATCATAACGCATTATTCTTTATGGTTATGATATCAATTCCTTTCTAAGTATGAGGTTTGCGGACCAACTGCAATATCTATATCAATTAAAATAACACACATTCGGTAAGGTGAAATGATTAAAACATAATAAAATTAAATGAGTTGGACGGGAAATAATATTTGCGTCATTGCTTTAAGCAACTAAAAAATATTCTCACAAAAAATATTATCCAACGTAAATAAAAAAAAAATCTCTTCTAATTTTAAAATATCTATCATACTAAACGGCAAAGAGGAAAAGTTACAAAGTAGATAGAATTACTTTTATTTCGAGCCTTTCAATTTTCGAATTTAACAGAATCGACAATATTAGATATCAAATTATCACAGTCACTGTCATTATTACTATTGTTTTTATTATTATAAAAATGACAAATAGCAATACAATGAGTGAATGAGGGACGCTGTTGTTAACCCTTTTTGTTGGGCTGAAAGGTTAACTGTTAACCTAATCAATCATATTAGTTAAGAAAATAAGAGAAAGAATAACCAGACCGAAATTATTAAAAAAATAAAAAGAATGACCTTGACCAAGTTTGCATTATTGACAAGGCAAAGAAACTGTAAGAAAAAAATTCAAAAGGGAAAAAGAAAATACCACAGATTTTCAATTCAATTTTTGTCTCGAATAATTAAAAAAATAGCATATAATTTTTTTTCCATTGATAAGATTTCAATCCAATTACAAATCTCCATAGAAGGAAAAAAAAGTTTTGAAATCCAGCAATATTATTGTCTGGATAGTAACGCCACCAGCTCATTGAAAGAGAATTTGACCTCTCTCCTATTTTTAAAAAATAAAAAAATAGACTGGGTGGGAACTGAGATGAGTAGTGTTTTCAAATTTCAAATTCAAATTTCAAAATTCCGCAATCTTGTCCGTCCATTCAATCAGCCCGTTGCGTTCCTCAATCACAACCCTTACTCCCCAATACCAAGAATTCCACGGCTCAGTTTCACTCAAATCCAAATCATATTCGCTTTCTCATTCAAGATCTAACCGTTGCTCCTGCCACAACGCCAATCACTTTTCTATAAAAAAGAATCTTCATTCGTCCCCACACTCACGAGCCCTCGATCTTTCTCTCCGCTCCACTTCCCTCACTGTCTTTTTGGCATTTCTTCAAACACCTTGAACCCTTCCTTTTCTTATCTTCTCCCTTCTCTTCGTTTCCTTTCCTTCCTTTTCAGATCCAAGATGCGTGAGATCCTTCACATTCAAGGTGGCCAATGTGGCAACCAAATCGGTGCCAAGTTCTGGGAAGTGGTATGCGCCGAACACGGCATCGATCCCACTGGAAGGTACCATGGAGACTCGGATCTGCAGCTTGAGAGGATTAATGTCTACTACAACGAGGCCAGTTGTGGGAGGTACGTGCCGAGAGGTGTGCTTATGGATCTCGAACCAGGAACCATGGATAGCATCCGATCTGGACCGTACGGACAGATTTTCAGGCCCGATAACTTCGTCTTTGGACAGTCTGGTGCCGGAAACAACTGGGCGAAAGGACATTACACTGAAGGCGCGGAACTCATCGATGCCGTTCTTGATGTTGTACGAAAAGAAGCCGAGAACTGTGACTGCTTGCAGGGTATGTTTTCTGATTTTTTGTATTGACAGAAATTAATGTCATATTTTGTTTATTTTCCTGATTTCTCCTTGTTTAGTGTTTTGGTATGTGTTTCGTTGCTAAAATTGACACTGAAACTTTGTGAGGTTTATAGATCTTTGCTCTGTTTTGCTGGTAAGTGTTAGTTATTCTTTAATAAATGAACTGTGAATGGTAAGCATTTAAGTTTTCCGCTTTCAAAAACATGCGCAACTTCCACTGTGGTTTTCAGATCTCCTGATCTGTTCTATGTCTTATGATTAGATGTTTCTTTAAAATTAGTTGTGATTCGTTGATGGGTGTGTGTGTTTCTGATTGAGAAATTGTAACTTCCGGTATTTTTTAAAATCTCACGCCATTTTTTATGGACTGAAACTTGATGTTTCCTCTATGACAAATGAAATGCAACGATTTTTTATCCATTATCTCTCTCCGCTTGCTAGCTGTGTACGAATTTGATCTTTACTTTGAGGCTGACTTTGAATTTGATGCGGTCTGTAGGTTTCCAAGTGTGCCATTCTCTCGGAGGAGGAACAGGATCTGGAATGGGTACTCTCTTGATTTCAAAGATCAGAGAAGAATACCCAGACAGAATGATGCTTACTTTCTCAGTCTTCCCTTCTCCCAAGGTCTCTGACACAGTGGTAGAGCCATATAATGCGACGCTTTCTGTCCACCAACTAGTTGAGAATGCAGATGAGTGCATGGTACTTGACAACGAAGCACTTTATGACATTTGCTTCCGCACCCTGAAGCTCACTACTCCTAGCTGTAAGATTTTATGCCTTCATGTGAATCTTTATGAATGCCTCCTAAAATGATTATGTGTACTCGCTGTTGCTGTCTGAATGACGCCTGGTGTTTCCTTAAGTTTTGTTCTTTTCCAAAATTGTGTAATTTAATTTAATTTAACGTTCATACAGAGCTGACTATTTTAATGTCCTAATGAGCAGTTGGTGATCTGAACCATTTGATTTCTGCAACCATGTCTGGAGTGACTTGCTGTTTAAGGTTCCCGGGTCAGCTGAACTCAGATCTCCGCAAGCTTGCAGTCAACCTTATCCCATTCCCTCGTCTTCACTTCTTCATGGTTGGTTTCGCACCTCTGACCTCGAGAGGTTCTCAGCAATACAGAGCTCTTAGTGTTCCTGAGCTAACACAGCAAATGTGGGATGCAAAGAACATGATGTGTGCTGCTGACCCAAGACATGGACGCTACCTCACCGCCTCAGCTATGTTCAGAGGGAAGATGAGCACGAAGGAGGTTGATGAGCAAATGATCAATGTCCAGAACAAGAACTCCTCATACTTTGTGGAGTGGATTCCAAACAACGTGAAATCAACTGTGTGTGACATTCCCCCTACTGGGTTGAAGATGGCTTCCACTTTCATAGGAAACTCCACATCAATTCAGGAGATGTTCAGGAGGGTGAGCGAGCAATTCACGGCCATGTTCAGGAGAAAGGCTTTCTTGCATTGGTATACTGGTGAAGGAATGGACGAGATGGAATTCACTGAAGCTGAGAGTAACATGAACGATCTTGTTTCGGAGTACCAGCAGTACCAGGATGCAACTGCTGATGATGAAGAATATGAAGAGGAGGAGGAACTTCGAGAGTATGACGAGTAAGGGTACTGTTGTGTGCGTCTGCTGCAACTTCCTGTTGCCGGTTCATTGATAGTTCCGGCTGGTTCGCTTTAGGCATATATATGATATTCAAAAACTTGTTTCGGGTTTTAATCTGTTTTCTGTGCTATGTACTTTTGTTGGTTAGTACTTGCTACTTATGAAAGACAAGTATGGTTCAAACAAATGCTAATATTGTTTGGAATTGGATTCGTTATTGAAAAAGAGATCCCATGTACCAAACAGAGAGTCATTCAACATGCTTATTTTTATTTATTAGTACTAATAATACAGAAAAAGCATAAGAAATGAAAGGTGTTAAATTTCAAGAATAATCTTCAAGTAAGAAAAAAGCAGGAAAGTAAATATAATATAATATTATTGTTTTTTCTCTTATTTTTTAAGAATAGTTAAAAGATTTTAATTTAAAATGAAATAATGTTATCAACTAATAACTTATAAAAGTAAATTAAATTGTGCTTCTGCCTTCAATATACTGGATGAGAGAGAGTACAAAATAGTCATGTCACGAGAACTTGTGAATGCGCATTTCTTGAATCTCATTTTTGCCCACTACAAAATGGAACCAGGGATAGTGGAATAATATCTCATCGCTTTTCCTTTAAAAAAGCAAAAAATTATTTCTCTCGCCAAGTCTTGTCAAGTTTTAGGCAGCTCGTTTTGAAAGTTTTTAAAGCAGGGTTCCCATTTCCCAGGGCAATGAATGTCTTCTGGAACATAAATTGCTTATTTTTGGTAATACAATGAATTCAAGGTTCTAACTTTTCAACTAAACCTTACATTTTTAAACATTTTGGATGTTTGAATTGGAGCAAACTTGTATTTTTTGTTTCATTTATGCATTTTGTGGCTAAACAATATGGATGAGAGGAGAGCTCTTCCCCTTGTTTGGTTAGGAACAAATAATTTTATGAAATTAACAATTAGAACTCATTATTTTAAATAAAAGATATTAAATCTAAAATGATAGCAAAAAACGATACAATTAAATTTAGAAGGTCTATTTCCCTACTTCCCAATGTTGAGGAGCAAAACGATACATTAGTTAATTTAGGGTACAGCAAAAGCTTGGTTTTTGAAGCGGCATAGGTTCAAGTTTTTTAATCCATTCCTCTATGTAAATTAATCCTAAATCTGTTTCACCGAAAGGCTTAAGCATAGAGTTTAGTCACAACAATGTTTCCAGGACTAATTTACGTAGACAAATGAAATACAACTCGAAGACAAAATCATCTACTTCTTCATACCACCATTGATGCCACTTTTGTCCACAACTTTCTTGTATTCAAACGCCTCATCCACACACTCCTCCGGCACCACTGGTCTTCTATTCCCAAACTTGTTCCAAAATAGCACAATGAAACCTATCAATCCTCCAAATCCAACCCCAATCAGCATTGCAGAAACTACGCTGAAAAAGCAATCACACTTTGGTTCCACGCTCAGATTTTCACTCTTCTTATCAATAGCATTTGGATTCAGAGGCTCTGAATGTATCCAATATGGGAATAGCCTTGATGTGAAGTTCCATAAATGAAGAAAACAGGTTTCAGATGTGTTCTCCTCCACAGTACTAAATCCCACAAACATTTCCTTCTTCTCTTTCATGGACATGTTGATTTTGTGCCATAGAAATGGATGAAATGGCCTTAAATTGCCATATTGACTCAACCTGACTTCTAAGCGTGAGGAACTCGCTTTATAATCAATCCAGACATGAAGCTTTTGCTCACTTTTCATACCCATTTTCGCAGTGGAAGCAGCGTCATTAATTTTAGCTATAACTGAGCTACTATTTCTACCATTACCATCTCTTGAAATGGTTACTTCAAGAACATTACCCAGAAAGTTTCTATTTGTCAATTCAAAAGAACTCCCATATAAGCTATCATTACCAAACGCTACAACAAAACCCAAACCATTCTCTTCCTTCGAAGACATGGAAAATGCAAAGTAAGTCGAGAAAGAGACTAATTTTCTTGATTTACCTTCCACAAGCAAGATGGGTTTCTCGTACATGACTCGTCCGGTGCCGGAAATTTGAATCGCGGAGCCATCATCAAACGGAACGATCTTCGCATTGCCAAGAAGAACCACAGTAGACTTAAATTCCAGGTCCTTTTGAAAATCCGTAAACGAAAACGAAGCGATTGGGTCGGAAGCTAGGGTTCGGTGGAAGAAGACGAGAAAAAGAGCAAGTACGGTGAAGCGAAGGGAAGTGAAAATTGGGGCCATAGTGAAGTGGGTTTCAGATTGAGCTGAAATGGAATTGGTGGTTCCAATTTTGCAATAAAGATGAAATGGGGTGATTTTGGAACTGAGAAGAAAGAAGAAGAAATGGTGAAAATTGGAGACGGTGTATTGTAAGTGTGACTTACTTGTTTCCTTTTCTGAAACGGCGTGGTTCACTCTTGCTCAGTGGAAGCTGATGACGACGCAGGGAACATGTGAGTGGGCTAGTCTCCATAAAAGCTCAGCTTTTCAAGAATCTGGTTTGACCTCTTTACCGTGCCAGCCATCACAAATTCACAATTGAGGTAAATAAGAGTAATGTTTAGTTTAATTACGCTTTTATTTTTTTTTACGCTGTAAAAAAACGTAATGTCGTGTTAAAAATTACTATTATTATTAAATAAAATATTATAAGAAATCTGGACATCTTCTGGTTGATTCTAAAATTGGTGCTAAAAAGCATATAATATCATCTTCCATACATCTCATTTTACAAGATGTTTTTTTAATTTAAATTATAAATATCAATGAAATAAATTAAACATAATTTTAAATTTTAAATTTTTAAAATAAGAAATATGAATTTATAAAAATACTCTTCAATTAATAAATAAAAGAAAGAAGATATTTAAAGAATGAAAGATAATTTTGAAATAAATTCATTAATAAATTATTATTATTTTTAAATATATTATATTATAGAACATCACATCATTCTAAATATTATTTATTCCGTATCAAATATAAGACACTTTAAAAAATATTTGATATTCAAATGTATAAGATACTTTAAAAAGATTAAAATTTTATTAAATAAATTTATTTTAATATTATCATTTTTCTCTTTATATATATTTAATTTATATCAACTCTCTCTTTTTAATATTTTAAATGAAGGATATTTTAAAAGTTTATATTTTTGCTTTAAAAAATAAAATTAACTGTATTTAATAAAATTTATCAATATATAAAATTTTGTTAAAAAATATTTTATAATCTGACACGGATGTAACACATTTTGTAAAATGAAGAAATGAAAATAAATATTTTTTCCAGTAAAATTAATAGAAAGAGGAGGCATCTTTAGTCTTATTTATACATGATATATTATTGTCATGATAGAAATACCAATAAAAGCTCCATTCTAAAAAGTTGATGTATTTGGATTTTTTTCCTCATCATTTGAAAAAAGCACTCAAGCAAGGAGAAATATCATCTCGATTTATATCAATTGAATAGTCTTCAGGCCGTGGGGCTCAACTTTATCGAACACTGTCCTTCTGTCATAGAATTTAACACTCCCATGTAGAATGAATTTAGTATAAAATAAATGCTATGAAGAACAAGCATTTAATTTGTTGTCTTGGTAAGATCAGCTAAAATTGCTTATAGTATTTCATGAACCACCCCACCCGCGCAAATATTGTCAATTAATGAGATTTTATATATGCTTTCTCCAATTCTATATATAATGCAACTTTTAAAAAATTAGTCATCTTGTAAGCTTGTTGAAACGTCAAATATTCTTTTTCATACATGCCTTGTATTAGAAACTACTGTGATGTAGAGATAGTAATTCACTAATTAATGAGATCAGATCATGCAAAAGTCGATCTATATCAAATTGTTAACATTTCAAGGCAAACGTAGCATATTAACTTATAAATATGGGTGACAGTTTTTTTGTTAAAATAAAGATGTACTTTTAATATGTTTATAAATCTCCTCATAATTAATTTAGGTGCAGTGAAGCACTCCATTCAAGTCGATCAGCTTAAAAGTTTGGTGTTTTTGGAGTCAGATTCTGGTGTTTAGGAGGCTTTCGTATTATTGCATCCCAAAAGAGACTTTTGGTCAGGCGCAGGGAATATTCTTCTCAGTAGAGATTAATTTTTTCCATAACACTGAAGACAATAAATAGATCATTTCTAATTTAAGTTTGGTTGATACACAAAAACAACGAAAAGGAGAACTTAATTGGAAGAGATCTATTCTTCATCTTCAATAGTTTTGAAGAGAGAGACGGAATCTGTTCGCAGAAAAAAAAAAAAAAAAGAAAGCAGGACTTTTGCAAAGAAAAGAGAGTGACAAAATGGGGCATAAAGGGCGTGTTACTCACACACACACACTCCCCAATACAAGAGCCTGTGGGAGATGGAGATTGGAGAATATCAAAGTCATTTTCGGTTGTGGGTCTGTTGAGAACTGCAAGAAATACCATTGGAGAAAACAAAAGAGTCCCAAGAAATTCTCAATCACTTGCCACGCAAGTTAGATATTTTCACATCTGGGGAAGTTGGGAGTCTTGAATGCATAGTGGAGGGCACATGATGAACTTCCCCAAGCTGAAACCAAAAATTTATTAGCAACAATAGACCACTGAAGATGGTGACAGAGTAAAGACCAAGTTTCACGTGGACGGGATGTCCATCCAATGCATATTGGAATTGAATTCAATATTGCTATTACTATAACCAGATGCCTCTCTCTCTCTCTCTCTCTCTCTCTCTCTCACTATGTCTAATCTAATCTAATCTATTGCTAATCTAATCTTCTAGCTTCACGTGAACCCTCCAAGAAAATTGTCTACTTCCATCTCGGTCAAACTCTATCACCTCTCCAGTTCAACTTTTATACTCTCTCTCATCCTAATTGCAGGACTCTTTTGAATATTGTGCTTTGCTCCCTCCGTTTTTATTTATAAAAAAAAAAATTATTATTTTTTATTTATTTTTCTATACAAATAAAATCATCTATTTCAATAAATATTTATTACACATTTTTTAAATTATCCTTCATAATTTAAATTAATAAAAAATAATTAATACATATTTATATTAATTAATATAGAGCATGTTAGTTCAATTATTTTATTTTTAGACATAATTATTGTAGTTAATAAATTTTTTTAAATTGTATGATATAATTTTTTTTATAAATAAAAATGGAGTGCTCTTTTATAATAATACTAAATTTGTCTTCTACATTAAATGCATTTTTAATCAAAATACCCTACATTAAAACCCAAGTCTTTCTTGGTAAAAATTCCTTACTAAGTCTCTCATTCCCTAATTATATATATTTTTTAAAACACAAATATCAAGAAAACACTGTAATTTACAATATAAGGCCTTTTTATCAAATGTTTCCCATTTTACCTTTGTTGAATGTTGATGAAAGAAAAAATGTCATTAAAATATATATATTTTTTGAACCACAATATAGAGCGCTTTCTAAAATATTGGCTAATTCAAAATAAGGGCATTGTACAAAATTTTAGAAATCAAGACTTTAATTCACTTTTTTTAGAAATATAAATTAATTAATAATGACTTATATTATCATTTAAAGGAGGGAGTATATTTAATAGAGAATAAATTTTTAAATTTTTAGACAAAATAAATAAATTTTAAAGTTTTTTCAATTTTTGATGAAACATGTTAGTATTAAGTTACATAAATTGAATAGGAGAGAGTAGTTGATATTCAAAAAAAAAAATTGTTTTTCTTTTTCTAATTACTAGACCGATTAAATGCTTTGGGGTAGTTGTGGAAAAGTAACTCGAAAATTTGACACATTGATTACAGATAATTAATTTAATTAATCTTGATAAATTAGTTAACACGAGGAATTAATGGATTTTGAATGAGGCATGGGATGGGATCAACAATACACGAGTCTTTGTTGTCAAATACATTTAGATCTTACTAAATATTTGGTTAAATTATTGTTTTGGACCCGGTAAAACCATAGCAGAGAAAAGAAAAAGAAGGCAGCAAGAGCATGACCACACAAGCAATTTCAAAGCAAGTTGGCCTCACTTTTATGCCTTTTACTTTGGTTATTTCGCTTTCGCTAGTCGTTTATAGACATTTTGCTTCATCTTTACATCGGCTATAAAACAAGTGTTGGACCAGAAGAATATATATATATATATATATATATATAATTGGCACAAAGGAAGAACAAGATTTTACCCCAAAAGCCAAAGCTCTCAGCATTTGAAAGCGTTGGATCCCCACTGCAGTAGCTGTATTTTAGTGGATGGCTACTGCTTTAAAGTTTTCATGATATTCAACTTTTTTCATCTTTTTGGGTGACTACTCCAACACAACTTTGGCCAACTTTACTCCCATTAAACCCAACAAGATAAAAAGTTACGCCAAAATATGATAAGAACAATAATAGAACCAGCTTTTTAAATGTCGCGCTTTTTCTCTTTGAAATCAAAATGTGGGCTTCCTCAGTAATTCAGACGGCACAATGGAATTATATCTTTTTGCATCTCTTTAAACTTCATTCTTGTGCAATTTTTATTATATTCCTATAATAATTATTCAGTAGTTTCTATGCTTTTTCATTATTTTTTAGAAAGGGATATGACAGTCATTTTTAATATTCTAAGTCCCCCCTACCTCTTCTATTGTCAGTATTGTTTTGTACACTAAATAAGCTCTAAAGAGTAGGTGACTGAGTGTCCAGTTTTTCAATAGTGTGATTTCATGAAGTTTTTTTTTTTTCTTTGTTTTGTTTTTTAATACAAGGCCTCCATAGGCATCATGCGAGCGAAACCTGATCAATACAAATTTGGAAACAAAATATCTTTACACCTCGAGAGAGGATTTTGGTAAATTCTATGGAAAATACTAGTGTTGAGAATGATGTGCCATCCCATCAGCATACTTGTTCCTATCCTTAAAAGCGAAATCAAAAGTAACAGTCTAGTTACACCGGATCATGATCAGATCTTCAATGTTTTTAATACCTTTACTCATGTCTCGTGCTAACCAAATTCAATCAAAATGAATCTAGTGCTGTATAAAGGGGAATATGAACTTATAAGAGAGACATTTTATTTTTTACCTATGATTTGTAGCACTGAAATATGGCTATTAGATTTACGTGTCATTATTACGTGTAACCGATTGATTCAATACAATAGTTCAAACTTCAGGATTAAATCATTTCTATCATCCCCAACTGGTAAGCGATTCAATCATTGGTGACTCTTGTCAGGTTTAGCAGCTTTCAATACTTTATTTTGATGAAGACAATTAAATGCCCATATCATGTTTAATTGAACGCTCCTTAGTGCTTAACTTTGTTTAGATAAATTGAGCTGCTCATGTAACCTTATGCTCATGAATACAATACTAATATTAAATTCAACTCAATACATCTTAAAATGACTGATGTTCTCAAGTATAACAAGAGGTTTAAGCACGCTAAAAGAAGAATCCAGCTACCTTCAACTGCTCTCGTGAAGAGAATTGCTGTGCTTCGTCTTGCACATCAACTTATAAGGTTTTGCTTCTACTAGCAGTTTCACTTTGAGCATTTTCTCTAATTCCTTCTTGTGAGAACTACATCAGTGAAATAATTTTAAGTGGGTTGGACCAGAGAAATTTCTTTTGACCAAGGAGGCTCTTGTAAGTTGTGTTTGTCAGGAGAATATACATCACTTTTAGGTTGAAAAATAAGCTGCGGAGCTGCGCTTTTGCACTTTTGAAGAATACATGGCGAAGACAGCTCACAAACTTGACTTAAGGAGTGGGATTAAGCACAAGTTATGAACAAGTTATTTCCTTCTGTAATGATCATTATAGCCTTCTCAACCTAGATATCAGTCATCCAACAGCACATTCTGAATATTACTCTAAACTTTCTTTCAGTCTATAGCAAGCTCTACGGATTGAAAAAGGTTTTCAAACGCTTGATAAAATTTAAAGCTAGTTACATGATCAACTAACATAAAACACATACAAAGGACCAAAAAGAATAAACATTCAGTTAAGAAATTACTCAAAAGGCTCTGAACAATTAGCTTGTAAACAAAATCCTAAAAAGAATTTTCCTTTCATGGGAACATCAATGGAGATAATAGGCAACTATGAGATGCTGATGTTAGAGAACTGCGTTACATAAGAAAAAACACTTTTCCACCTGTCGTCTCTGTTGTTTTTCTTTTTCTTTTTGGGTTTGTTTTATATGAATCTCTGCTCATATAAGTAGAATGAAAAGGAAAATTCAGCTAACACTGACAACTCCGGGGTTCTAGTGTATAGGAAAACTACACATCAATATTGAGAAATAGAAATGTAATCAAGCATGGAACATTCAATTTTTCATCTGAAGCACCAAACTTGAGATAATATTTCAATCACTGCTTGCATCACAATTAAGCTTTTTAATGGACTGTGAATTCCCTAACCTTTATATGATTCATGATTCACATTTAAGCACTTAAGAATAATTTTAATTCTAAAAAAAATCTAAAACAAAAACTCCATTTACAACTGCTGAAAGCAAGCACTGGATGCCAGCATTTTTCCTTAAATTATATGCAAAATTATTGACTAAATATCTGTCCCCTCATTGAAACACTCCCACGTTTACTTATCCTAAGAATCATGGCAGCATTACTATCTCAATATTGAAAGTTTAAAATAATTATAAAGGACACTAAGCAAATACAAAATTGTGAAGCATACCATTTCAGATAGCCTACAAAGATCAGCTTATCTCTCGAGCAATTTTACTGGCTTCTATGTCGACAATATTCTCCTTACCAAATAGAGTAAAAGCCACGGTTGCCTGTAAGAAAAATGATGCGTTAGTTCAAATACAGATTGAAGAAAAATGCTGGCATGAAATTAAAATTTCACGTAATTTTGACCCTTCTTCCCCACTAATTTACACATTTGAACAACCTTTACAGCCATTTGGAACAATATATGCATTTTTTGATAAAAAATTTGGACCAATATATTGGGCAATCATATTCACTACATCAAGCTATGTCAATTTTGTTAAGGAGGCAACTCACTAGTTTGGTTTTGCGATTCAGCTTCTTAAGAGTGCCTGTGAACCCTGCAAATGTTCCAGAAAGAACTCGAACAGTTGAACCTGGCTTCAGAGTAGATGATTTTTCAATGGTCATGTCAGAAGTTTTGCTCGACTTCCTTTTTGGCTTAGAATCAGCTTCTGATTTAAAACCATCATCTGATTCCAACTCTGCTTTCAGAACCTCAGAGTTCAGGACTGCATTTTTCTCTTCTTCCTCAAATGTTTGGTCAGCTTTTTCTTGCTCTTCTTTTGCCTGCCTAAAGATTTCTTCCATATCATCAGCAGATACTGGCTTAGGCCTGTTAATCTGCCTCTTTCTGCAATGTAAATGGTAAGAGTACTTTCAATAAGGCTAAGTTAGGGAAGCATGTATTATAATACGGACAACAAGGACGGCAATGCCAAATAGACATTTGATATAAGGCCTCTGGAATTAGCAATCAAGGTCACATATGAAAGCTAAGAAGACCACCCATAAAATAAAATTTAAAAAAAATAGCAAACGGGTGAAAAATCTTGGGGAGAATCACAACCAACTTAGGTACCTCAAAACAAGAACCTTCTTGAGTTTGAAAACTATGTGACATGCTCCACCCAGTCCTTTTTATAATAGACCAATAACTAAGATATCAGGACCATAGAATTCATTTGAAATTAATTGAAATCAATAAACATATTACCAATATAAATTTCTTTCCAAAAATACCCTTATTTAATAATTGATTGGTGACTTTTAATAAATAAATACTTCTTTTTAATGAGAATAACAAGGGAAATTTTTAATAAATGCCCTCAACAAGAAGTTATTGTTTCTTAAATAAGACCATGAAAACTCTCTTAAAATTCTCTTATAAAAGAGTCCTGAGGTAGTACTATATTAACAACTTTTTTTTTTTTTTTTGACAAAAGGAATTGAGTGTCTATGTTGCTCAGAAAGACTTTAGCTGTGATTCTCCCAAAATCTTCATCTGTTAGGAGAAACCAAATGGGCGGATAGAATTATCACCCATTTTTAATTAAAGCCAATGCTAAAATACTTATATATCTAAAACTTCTTGGTTATCTTGTGGCTTCTTCTTTTGCACAAGAGTTTTTAATATGACCTTGCAGTAAAATATACAAGGCTCAAGATATTAACTATTTCACTTGCCGTGATGCTACTTTTAAAATAATAGCAATAAGTTTAACACAAACACCATACACTTAGTTACTTACATGCTTCCAACCTTAGAACCAAGAAATCCTCCAATACCATCATACTCTCTTATAAAGTCGTGCAGCTCTTTGTTCAGTACACATCTAAAAAAAATACAACCTGGGAATAGGGGCCTTGGTGTAATTGAGTATGATCCATTCTTTAATCTCCTTTTCACTTGGACGGCTGGAGCATATAGCTGAAAACAAACACTATCAAATTCAAAAGGTAAAAATAGATAAATAAAAAAGACGACATAAAACAACATTTCTTAAGTTGATGCTTCCCATAGAGTTTGTTTTCTCATCTCATCAGCTAGTAGGGTGTTTGGTATGGTCAGTTAAAAAAGTCAATAACCCATAAACTCTTATTCTTCATAATTCATCCATATAATCCGATTAATCTACAAGATTAATAGAGAACCCAAGAAATGAAACTCTGTCAAACTTTATTAATATATATAAACGAAATAACATTTCATTGTTATTACTCCCTCTGGTCTTATACATTAGTCAACTATTAGAACAAATTGATGGTCCTGTATATTAGCCGCTTTGCATAAAAGGGGAGAGCATTATTTAGCTTTTTCCAAAAATGACCCTTGCTTACGAAATAAATAACTTTAAACAGTAAAACGGTAGGCCATAGATTCTAATTCTCTAAAATTTTCTTGCTTAAACCAATATAGTAAAAGCAAGGACAAAGACTCAGAACCATAAAATTGACTAGACTCGGAGTTACTCAATTCACATCTCAAGTTAATCCACCAAGAGCCTAAGAAGAAAATTTAAGATTGCTTGAGAGCCTGGAAAATGAAACACTTTCAAAGTGTCTGTGAAGAAAAAGGAGACAACATTTCTGAATTATTATTGCTCATGTATTTTGCCAACAGCTGAGAGAGGTGTTTGGTATATTCAGCTAAACAAGAAATCGACAAACTAGAAATTCCTATTCTTCATCACTCAGTAAGAGAGGAAGAGTAAAAGCATAGCTTTTAAATTCCCGTTCTTCATTATTCATTCAGACAAGCAAATAGAGTAAATACTATGGTCCTAAATTTGAACTAGCTCACGACAAAAGGTATCAATTTCACAGCTCTTACTAATTAATTCATCTAGGGTGGAAGATCAGAAATCAAATTTACAGAACAAGAATTTCGATTTATAGCACTTACGTTGACCTGTTCAATAACTTTTCTCTATTGATCAGTTCAATAATCCGTACATTCTCGATTTTATAATTCATCCTTGCCAACAAATAGACTAGTGAGTACAAGCAATGGTCATGGAATGGAACTAGCCTACAGCATATCCATTTCGAAGTATAACACTCAATTACCTTAAACTCTAAATCGGGGAAGTTCCTAGCCAGCGAGCGAGCTAGAAGTTGGGCAGTGTCCTGACCCCTGACCCGAGATCCTCGAATAACCCACCACTGGGGACCCAATTTAGCGAGGTTATCGAGGTTAAGTTTCTCGGTCCAAGAAGTTTTCTCCTTCTTGGGTTTCTTGATGAGCCTCTCTTCCACCTCTTCTCTCCAATTCGTAGTGGTTTTGCTCTCTCTCCTCTCATTTCTAAGGCGTCTTCTCTCTCTAGCCGTGAGCTCTTGAATATCGGTGGAATCAAGCGAAGCAGAAATTGATGAGCTAAAGCTTCTGGTTTGAGGAAATATGAAAGAGAGAGAAGGGAGAGAGGGCGTTGAAAGAGAGTGGAAGCCAGGATTCCATAGCAGAAGCCCCTGCTTCATCTTCGACAGGCTACAAGCGGATGGTTTGATAAGGCGCCGTTATGATTTTCCATATTTTTAATCATTTGCCGTACCAAGCGTCATTTTATCGATTGTAAATTTTTTTACTTAGATTATTGATTTTGCAAAATAATTTTTAAATAATAATATGAAAAGTTTTAAAAAGCCCGTTTGAATTTCAATTAAATATAATTAATTTTAAAAATAATTAATTAATATTATTGAATAAAATTATATATTTAATTAATTATAAAAATTTAAATTTAATTAATTGTATTCATAAAATTAGAGATTTGAAAAATCTTATACAATTAAAGTTAGAGGTTTAAAAAATTTTATACAATTAAAACCTAATATATTTTAACGAGTATGCTTAATATTGATAAGGGAGATTCAACTGTCATCGCTTTCGTTATTTGACAAACTCAATTTTTTATGTAAATTATATATTCATTTAACAAGTGACAATAGATAATTAATAAATATTGTCAAGAAATTAACGAGTAAAGTTATGCAATTAACAAGAAATCTGGTTGTTTTTTTGAAACAACAGTTAAACTAATGTTGTTATGATATTAACAAGTCAAGCTGGGTAATTAACAAGTATTGTTGCGTAATTGACAAGTAAAATTACATGATTAACAAGTAATGCGGTTCAGTTGAAGGGGTCATGGATTTGACAAACAATTAACAAGTCTTATTAAGGTATTAACAATGACAGTTACATGATTAACAAGTAATGTAGCTCTATTGTGAGAGTCACGAACTTAACAAGTTAAGTAATTGACAAGTCCTGTTAAAGTATTAACAAGTATAGTTACGCGATTAACAAGTAATTTATTTCTGTTCCAGGAGTCGTGGGTTAACAAGGAAAGTTAAATAAATAATAAATCCTTTTAAGGTATTAACAAGTAAAGTTACATGATTAACAAATAAGGTTTATTATATATATAATTTTATACATCGTATAATTAAATGAGTTAAGTGGTTTGGTGGTGTAAAACTTTTTGGTGAACTAAGGAGTCTTGGATTCTACACCCACCTTAGCCACCTTTGAAGAAATTAATTTTCCATAATTCTCCAGCCATTATCGACGGTGGGTCAGTTGACAGGCAGAGCTTTGGCGACGGAGGTCCAGTGGCTACAGTCGTAGGCAAAGCTCTGGTCACCGACAACGGTGCTCCAGCAACAATGGTTGGTGGTTTTCTTGTTTGTATATTTGAATTGAGTGTATTTTGGTTTTTTTCTACTTTCAACTTATTTTCAGTTTAGTTCTATAAGACTGAACTGATATTTTGAAATTCTTTGAGAGCCACGTGAAGATAAGTTGCTTCTGTGATCCTTAAATGAAATTCTCCTTTTAAATTAATAATTAGATCTTTTTTAGTAGAAATATGGAAACACTTGTTCTCTATAAATGAAAAAAATATCAAGTATGCTAGAGACACTGAATCTTTAATGAAAACAAAGAGTTCTTGGGCTTTCTTATTACAGTTTACTCAAATGTCAAGAGACAAAGGAATTGAAATAACAAATGTTTGATTAATAAAATATGCAAATTACAAAGTCATAAAGATTACAAAGATAAAGATGACATTAAAAACTATATGAATAAAAAGTTAAAAGTGCAATGGGCTTAAGTGATTGATTGTTGTTCGGTCCTTTCTCTTTATGACCTTCTTTTCCTTTTATATTAGTTTAGCCGAGACGGTTGCCCACAAAATCTAGAGCTCGTTCACAAAATATCGAGGATTTAATAGGCATGGCCTGTGATTCATGGCATGATCTTCCTATTTGCAATGCATATAGGCTATCATTAACTGCCAGCCTGTGTCCCTGAAATATTCATAGATAATGCCCATGACCTTGCGAGATTTAGGCTTTTTAGTCTTAAGGGGTTATAGACCCGAATTGACCATGATCTGGACCCAAACTTGTTATGGGATCGCTTATTGGGCCTAACTTTTTCATTTATCCAGCCCAATTTATGCTATAGCTATTGTGTCCTTTTAAATAAACATCGCTCTAGTTTTAGCCTAAATAATGCCCTCACTTGTTAGTGGCTAGTAACTATAAGCCTATAAGCCATGCAGCATGTTTGAAAGAGATTTGAAACACCATTTCATTTTTGTGTGTCTTCTGAAAAATATAAATTTTTTCCTTTTCTTTTTGTCAGTTCTTCCAGTATACTCTACCATTTCTGGACCCTTAAGCTTTCGCTCTTTGTTGCTTCCACATCTTTGTTCAACAATATCTTCCTCTTCTGCTATTGCCACTTTCAATGCTATAACATCCTCAATTTTAAACCTAGATTAATTAAGCTTAAATAGATTAGTACAGTGAATCTTTGAGGTGTGTGTGGCCAGAGATGCCTAACGACCGTGTTTGATCTTGATTTCAGTTCTAAACGCGAGTTCAAAGGAGAATCAGGTCACCCGGGGATAGAAGAGGAAGAATTTCTGAATGGAGTGATTATGTGCCACACATCGCAGCTTGTGGTTGGTCCGCCGCGGCGCATGCATGCCAACACGCTTGAAAGAAGCTCTCTATGCCATGTGCTACGGTGCATTATGCGTCCGCCGTGGCACATAGCTAGAATTTTGCACTATTGAGTCGCACATTTGAAGTGAAAATAAAGAGAAAATAAAAGAAAATGAACGAGTGGCGAAAAAGATAAGCTAGGGCTTGAAGGAACTGATTGTTGAGAGTAATTTGGAGTTCATAAATACTAAAGGTAAGCTTCCTAACTTAAATCTTCCTCTCTTCTTCCATTTTCTTGATGGTAGATGTTAGGGTTTGATTTCTAATGGTGATTTTTGATCTATAGAGGTTATAAGTCCAAAAACCTATTAACTCAAATAAAGTTAATGGGGGTAGATTGAGTTAAGTAAAATTGATATTTATGATTTTATGATGATTGGTAATTGGAGAACATTAAATGTCTGAAATTCCCATAAATTTAGTGGTTAGGAATAATGTAGCTTCATTAATGCCCATTTAAGAGTTTAATGTTATAAATGAGAGTTAAAGGAAGTTAAGAAACCTTATGGGTACTTTTACATGAGTTTAAAGTAAAGCTTAAGTATTAAAAAATGATGAAAATGCTAGTGAAAAATAGCTAAAAATAGATATTGATATTTTGCACAGTAAATACTTGTAGTGTAATTATCATTGACACCATTCAAGCTTCTTGGAAGCTTCAAAAGCGAATAGTTGAGGGGTAAAACTTTTGATATCTCAAAGGTTTGAGGTAACAGGGGAAATTTTATCTTATGCTTGTGTGTGATTATTGGTTTATTGATTTATGAATTATCATTTGAAGTGTATAAGTTTAAAGAAATGCAAGTGTGGCTTAAATCATGAAAAAATCTATTAGATCAAATTTGTGAGTTTTATGCCTTATGATGCAAAATTTCCCTTGAGAATAATAGTGGTGGGTTTTCATATTATTGTTCATTAAGAGTGCAATGACTTCTATAAATTGAGAAACAAAATGAATCTTTATTTAGAAGGAGTTCAATAATGTACAAAAATAGGGAAGTCCAATGATTGTGCAATTTAAAGCTCTATGAATTATATATGTGTGAATTATCGCATGAATGTCCATGGCATGATCTAAAGAGACGGGAGTTCTCCTAAGAAGCAGAATAGATGATAAATCTACGTGGTAAGGCCCCATCCATGTGATGGACAGCCTAGATTGATTTTATCTATATCGTCCCACTTGTTCAACAAGAGACTGTCCTACTGGTTCAATAAGGGACTTGAACCTAGCTAACTATCCACCGGTCCAATAAGGAAGCTAGTCTAAGGTGTATGAAATCCCATAGTGTGAGAAATGAGAGAAACCATGATACATAAGTGAGTTGGGTATGCCTTAGCTGGGTAATCCCCTCATAAGTGTTTAGGTTAAGAAAGTCAAAGAATATAAACTATCCCATTGAGTTATAGCCTACAGTTTCGTGTTAGAAGAATAAGGACGATATAAAAGAGGTGTGATCATGCATATAGTGAGAAAAGGCACGTGTTGTCTATATTGAGTCCAAAATGTGGATATGTTGAGTTGAGTAATAATTTTTTCCATACACTTGTCAATAAATTGTGTGAGCAATTTTATTTATATGAAAGATGCTAAAAGCATTGTCTTTTTAAGTGAATGCCATTATGTGAGCTAAGTTGTGAATTCTTCTTTCAAATGTTTCTCATAGGATAAAGTAATAATATTTATTGCCATTTGCATTTAAACTAATTGATATGCATTAGTACGGGCTAGTCGGACCTTGGTTACTAAGTAGTTGTACTCACCCTGTTATCTTCAATATTTCAGGGAATAACTCAAGAAGTGAAGACAGAGGAAAACAACCCGAGGCTTAAGATCACGATTCATTTGTAATAGGTCTTTTTATTTTTGGTAATTTATGTGTATATGACAATTTCGATTGCCAACTAGGATTTTCCTTTTTGTTGCTTACTTGCATTAAGTGAAATATAAATTGAAATAGTATTTTGGGCCTAGAGAGAGAGTTGATTATTATGTACTATAATGATAGGGCTAAAATATTAATGCAAGTGAGAGTAGTAAATATTATATGATGATTTGAGAAATATTGATGAAAAATGTGGTAAACTCTCCCTTTCTATGATTTTAAGTTAAGGGGTTGAGTAATGAAAATTTGATCTGAAAATATTTCTTATATTATGTGGTCATATGGTTGTTGGTGACTTATGGTCCTTGGTATGTGTTTTGAACATCTGAGATTGTGAAATTGGTTATAGTAGTGTAAGTTTTGAAAAGGGTGTCCAATTTTTGTTTTAAAAATAATTTGAGCCTAAAACCAATGCCATTAGTTAGAGCCCAAAAAGAGCTTTCTGTAGACTTCTAGTTCACGTCATTTGAAGGTTGGATAGAGATTTAGGGTGCATCGAAAGTTGGCCTTAAAGCTATCAAATTGACAGTAGAACTCACTGTCAAAATTCATGCATTTGCACCGCAGCACATGGCGTCACGAGCCGCGGCACATGTCACAGAGGGAACACACCACAGTGCATGTTCAATGAGCCGCGGCGCACGCCTTTTAATTTTTTAAAATTTTTCTTGTTCCAGATTTTTGCACTTATATAACCACTTATGTAATAATTATTTGCTTTCATGTATTTGCAAACTTTATTTTGCCTCTTTGCAAGACTTGATTGACTTTAAATTTATAATCTTGGAGTCCTCATTTTGTTAACTAATGAGAATTTTGTATTTGATGATTACTATTATCTCATTTTCCTAATTACTTGGGATTTGAGTTTTAATTGTGGGATAAAAGGAAGAGGATATTACAGATGTTACTCAAACCAATGCTCCTACCACTACCTTACTATGATAAGTGTTCTTTCTTAATCTCACATTTTTCTTAGTTTGAGTTTCTAGTCTAATGTTCTTTCTTTCTTTTTCTTAGTAAGTTTTATTGTTCTATTCATGTGTTAGTTTTTGATAAGATTCTTTGCTTAGGTCAAATTCTTACGTTTTTAATTAATGCTAGTTTCAGTTTACCCTTCTTCTTCAATGCTTTTCCTTAGAGCTTTCGCTCGGCCAATCAAAGCAACGTGGGGATTTTGTCTATAGCTCTAAATGTATTAAAGGTGGTTAATTTAAGTTTTAAATTCATTGATGAAAATTTTGGCTTTCGCATCCATCGTTTATAAAATTCTATGATACTTAAATTTTTTTTTCAAATGAGGTCCCAAATTTTTACCATTAAATAAATAAATATTATTCAAAATAAGACAAATTCAGAGTTATAAAGTATACAAAAATATGAGATGCTAATCGTTTGAAAAACACTAAAAAAAGGAGCAAAAATGTAATTTCACAAAATTATTGGTCGTTAATCACGGCCAATGATACATTCATCACGATGGATCACGGTGAGGCTAATTTAGTCTATATAATAATCAATATTTTATACATAAACAATGAGGATGATTTGCTCAAAATTTCAAAGTTCAGGGTCAAAAATGCTACTCGCATGATAGTTTAGGGTATATGGCACTAACTAAAAAATGACACATTAGTAAGGGACTAACATGTTAGCATTTAACTGGGGCCTATGGTAAATAGCACTGCATTAACAAAAAAGATGATGGTAGGGTTTAATTTTTCATGAATTTAAAAATTTAGAGTCAATTTTGTATATTTTAAGAGTCTAAGGTTAAGGTGTTTTTCGAGTAATACATCAAGGTCTATTTTGCTCATTAACCTGATTAAAAAATTAAATTTAAATTCACAAAAGGTGATATTTGTAAATTTAAGTCAAGCTATATATTTGATTTTATTAACTTTTAGAAAATATAAATTTTTTTATTTCTTTCTTAAATAGGCAAACTTCATAGTTATTTCCAGATATCAACTTCAGATAATTTAAATCCTAAACAATTATATATAAAATTGTTATTGTGTATATTAACAATATAAAAAATAATTTATTATTTCTATATATATGTTGCGGTCTCTAAAAATATACTATATATTATTATCACATAAATTAAAATTTAAATAATAAAACATTTTATCTTATAATTTTTTATTGTACAATTTATTATTTTATATCTATAAAAAATACAAGCAACAAATAATTTATTTTATACCTATGATTTTTATTGTGAATTTTATATTCCCTCCATTAAAAAATATATGACATTTTTAATTGAATTTCACTTTCAAATAAAGTTATTTATTGTCAAACTAATTCTATTTTTTCATATTTAATCCTATAAACATCCTAAAATAAACATAAAATAATTAATTTAATAGATATTTTAAAAAAATAATTACACTTTAAAATATTAAAAATATCTTACATTTTTGAACATTTAATCTCTTAAAAAATAGCTTTTATTTTTAAATGGAGGGAGTAACTCTTATTAATTTTTTTTTATCATGAACCCTACATTTATTTATTTTTTATTATGAAGCCCATATGATATTTTAACATGCAAAGTAGTATTCTTTTTTTTTTTTTAAAATTGTTACTGCTTATTTAACTGGAAATGAATGGTAACGATAAATGTGTGTGTAAGTAGAGTTGAAAATACAGGCGAGCTTGACCCTTATGGGCTTGAGCCCTAAAGCTTAGTTTTTCATTTTGAGTTTCATTTCTCAAACCAAGCCCTTATGTGAAGGGTTTAGGGTCGGGCCCACAAGCCTCTTTTTAAAAAATAAAAAAATTAAAATAAAATTAAACATTACTCCCTCCGGTCCCATTTATAAGTCCAATTTTAGAAGGTGTATTTAGTCCCATTTATAAGTCACGGTGCATCTTTTTAGGTAATATTTGAGAAGTATTTCCAAAATTACCCTTCATGAGAAAGAAAAAGTAACAGGACATTACTTTTTAGATTTGTTATATAGGGGCATGTTTGGAATTTTACTTACTTTTATTCCTTGTACTTTTATTATATTGGTATTGATGAGGTTGGTAGAAATGACTTATAAATAGGACCGGAGGGAGTATAAATTAATTAAAATATTTTGAAATTAAAAAAAATTAAAATTTCCATTTTTTTAGAAATTAAACAACATGCATTTAGAAGTTTAGTAATAAAATTTAAATCTTAGTTAAAAAATAGTTTATTTTTTATAAATATACATATATAATAATTATAGAAAAATAAAAAATATCATAAATTTTATACCATACACTGATATTTATTAAATTAATTTTAGAATAAATTAAAATTAATAATAATATAATGTGTATAGAATTAGGTGAGTAGGTCATTGGTTTCAAACACGTGTTATAATAATAATAATAATAATAATAATAATATAATAGGGTTTGAAGGGTTGCTCGAGCCCAAGCTTTTTTTTACAGGATTTATCAGGGCCAAGCCCTCAAGTACGATTACTTTAAAAAAATTCATTTTTAAAGTTTAAACTTTTATTTAAATAAGATTTTTAAATCCGACCCTTATATTCGGCTCTATGTGTAGTCAGCAGGCTGCTCCAATTTTTATTTTTTTTCCCTCCAAATAAAATTACACTTGTCAGCTTAGCGAAGAGCGAATTGCTATGTTCGTTTGGCAGTTTGCCGCCAAAACGCCCGAAATAAACTCCCAGAATTCGGCTTTCGCACGTTCGTTCCAAAATTTCAAAAACCTCCCGCGTTTCTTCCCAATCTCATCCAATACTTTTTCTTCCATTTTCAGCCCAGATGCATATCGCATTTCTCATACCTTCTCATTTCCCTCTTCCTCCGATCTCAATCTTCCTTAACCACCGAACCGATTTCTTCTTCCTCCTTCTTCCTTGCTGCCTCAATTTTTCCGAAGATGGGGAAGCAATCCAAACCCAGAAAACCCGAGGCTTTCGGAAAGGGGAAGGTCACTCCTATTCAGATCGCATTCATTGTCGACAGGTACTTATGCGACAACAACTACTCTGAAACTCGCTCCATGTTCAGAAACGAAGCTTCATCCCTCATTGCCAATTCTCCAATGCAAGAGGTACGTTTGCTCATTTGCTTCTTCGTCCACATTTTTCGTCTTCCTCCCTTTTAGATCTGTATCTCCTGTTCGTTAATTGTATATTGTTAAGTCCTATATTCATTTTGTTATCGGAGTTTCTGAGGGTTTGGGTCTTGATTTTCGGCGACGTGTGTGTGTGTGTGTGTGTGTTTTTTTTTTTTTTTTTTTTTGGTGGTACCAGGCACCCAAGACATTGTTGAGTTTGGGAGAGATGTTGGACGAGTATATCTGCTTGAAGGAGCTGAAGGTCGTATTGGACCAGGAAAGAGTCCGTATGGATCAAGAAAAATACAGGGTTCAGATGTTATTGCAAGGCATGCAGAATGTTATGAACGCTTATAATGCAAGTGGGAGCCTTCCAGGACCTGCGCCAAATCTCCCAGCATCTGCCGCCAAATCTATGGTTCCTCAACCTCAGATTAGCAACAAGTCTCCCTCCGGTACCATCCCTATATCCAGTAGTTAATATTTCTTGTGTTCCGTAATTCCGGCGATCGTTTAGGAGTTCTACGATTCAGACATTTTCATTAATTAGTGATTTAGTGTATATATATTTCCTGGTTGGTCTGTACTCAATTACGGGGGATAATTTGATGTTTTCTTTTAAAGTGTGTTAGAAGATATGTTAGATATTATCATTAATAAAATCTCACTTAGCAACTCAAATTCTTCAGTTGAACTGCATTTCTGAAGAGTTGGACAGGTTGAAGTTGGTGTTTTCTTTTAGATATACTTCGCTAATGGCAGTTAATGGCAACTAATTAGCAGGTGTACTTGTGATTTTGGTTCCTAAGGCAAATTGGAAACGTGTAGATGACTGCAACTCAATTGGGAGGAAAGGGGGTGGGGTGGCTGTAAAACTCCTACTGATTTGGTTGTGCTGTGGTGTCTAAATTATGTTTACTTCAGCGTTTTGATTCAGTTTCAACCATGTGTAAACTTTGCCAAGTATATTCGTCTTTGCTATTTAATTAGGCAATCCTACTCCAATGCAAAACACAATGAATATACAAATTCGGCCTCAATCTACCAACACCCATGCAGAGGTGACACCCATGATGAATCTGTCAGACCGAAAGAGAAAGGATGCCAAAGTCATGGATGCCCCTTCAGCTGCAAAGAAATCACGTGGTAGATCGTCTGCCCGGAAAATTCCAAGCCTAGGTATAGCTATCTCTTGACTCAGAATGTAAGAAGTACATTACTATAAGCTAGTATTTTATTGGATTAATACATTTCAGCTTTAACTTCATTTTCAGGTCCAAACACACTACCCCAATCTGATAATGCTGTGAATGATCAATTAATTGCTCAGCCCTCTTGTGCTGTTCAATCATCACCTGACAATTGCATGCCCGATGGGACACAGGTTCAAGGATCTACTGTTGCTAAATGCTTGTTCAATGAACCTTCACATTCTATTCCAGCCAATTCGCCAATTCTAAAGACGCTTCCGAGAGCAAATTCCTCTCACAGTGACACGCATGTATCTCCGCCTGAGATTTCTTCAGTTGCAAATTGCAACAAAAGCCATGCTTCTCGGGAGATTACTCCCACTCGTTGCACTGTAATTTCAACCAAAAGAGTAATGGTCAGTCCTGCAAAACAGATGGCTTACATAGAGAGGCGCCATTGCATTTCTCCTCTTAAACCAGATTCAGAAAAGACAAGTAAGAGGGAGCATGTAAGGAGCAGGTTGGACTTTGATGGCTCTGATATGCCAGAGAGCTTGGACAAGCCATCATCTAATGACATGTCCAGTTCCGAGTCTGATAAAGAAATGGACATTTTTGACATTGACTTTCCTAACTTAGATGCTTTGGGAATGGATTTCTCGTTCACTGAGATGTTAGGGGAACTAGACCTTCATTGTGAAGGCATTGACTTTTCTTGCCTCCCAACATCAAACCTGTCCGAGGATAATGCTTCAGGGTATTTTTCTGTTTAAACCTGTAGTTCTCTCTTATTGTTGATTCACTTTTTCTATCTGATGTTATCCCATTACATGAACAGGCCATCTAATGACTGTGATCAGGCTAACCAAGTCATGTCTGAAATGTCTCCAAACGCGGCAGAAGTCCTATCGGAGAAGGAAATGAATATACAAGGTACTGATAAATGAAACTCATCTGTGTCGTAAACAATTTTTGAATGAGCTAGAGTTTACTAAACCTTCCATTTCTGCAGGTCCTGATTGTTTGACTGCAATGAAATCCGTCACAAAATGCATAACAATTTTAAGCCCTGGTAAGTTCTTTCTTCAAATGTTCCCTGATTTTTGAATGAAGTAAAACTTCAAATATTTCCATCATAATAATAATAATGCTTGAAAAACGAAAATAAGATTGAAACTACAAAGTTCTGTAAGAGTCAAAACATCAATTGTTCTAAATTTTTTATTTATATTTGTTTGCAATATTCCATTATTATATATTGCATCATTAATTCATTACATCATGCCTACAGTGAAAAACCACCAGCGCCTGCTGGATCAAGACGACTCTAGGAGAGGGTGATTTGTCAAGAATGAAGATGTAAAGAATAACTCAGACTGACTTGGCACCTGCACTTGCTGCAGGAGATTCTTGTGTTCCGAAAGATGGCTTCTTGCAGTTGCTCGTTTAGGATAACTCATTCATTCACACTCAGATTACATCAGCCTAATTTAGATTAGTTATATTTTGATGGTAACTACCCATGTTTAGCCAATTAGTATGTTTAGATTATCCGAAATAGATAAATTATTGTATACAGTGGTAAGAATGGATAATGAGAAGAACAGGTGAATATCGTAAACACTGGTATTGCGTAATCAAGAGTTTAAGCATTGAAACCCGTAACTTCAAAAAGGTAGGTTTAGTTTTTCCCTTGCAGTCTCCAGAAACTGAAAGGAACAAAAAGGAATTCCAGGCGGAATTTTCTATTGGGTTAGACGATGTGCTTCCGTGGACCGTTTGCCTGAATCAGGGTGATAAGGCCTGATGAAAAGCAATTCTTTAATATTCATTTTTATGGGGGAACAAATTGCCAGTCAATCTGTTTATTGCTTTTTGACTGGTGGTGTTGCCTTCAAAATGATTCCTTAATAAATACACTTTTCTTTGGATGAATCTTATACTATTCTGAAAACCAAAAAAATTGGCCCCAAGTTATTAAAGTTCAGTTGATAGTGACATTCGTTTAACTAGAATATGCTGTAGTTCCCAGTATACAAATATATATGGTGGATGCTTTTTGGATATTCCATTTACATGATTCGGATGAAATTTTATACACAGTGGTGTCCAGAATAATTGAAAGATCTGGAATCATTTTTATCAAACCAAAGAAGAGCTTGGTAAAAAAAAAAAAAAAAAAAGTTTCTTCCGGGGACCAATTATAAAGAATGAAATAAGGAAGAAATATAAATCTGGCTTCAAAAATACTTTTGAGAGTGAATATTGCTTTAGAAGATTGAGTCCAGCATAATGTTGACAAACAAGTGTCTTTGGATCAACATATGAATCAAGCTAAATACTTTTCCACCTTCTCCACCTCTTCTTTACTGCCAATGTACAGTGGAACGCGCTGATGGATCTGTTCCAAAAAAATAAAATAAAATAAATAATAACATACATGATTATATTTACACCTTACTTGTTATGAATCAGAATCAAATGTGTTTGGTTGTGCGTTGAATTTGGTCAAAACCACATCTTGATCAAAGTATTCTGAGAATAGCTTCGAGCAAGATAAGGCTTTCTGCATTTTTTTTTTAAAACAAGGTGTGTGTGGGTGTGTGTGTGTATTCTTATATTTTTTTATACAAAAAATTTAATAAAATTACGTATGATCTTCCTTATCAAATCTAATCATATGATGCCAAGTCAAGTGCCTTTTCTTTTATAGACTATCATAATCTCTTTAAGTATAAGAGACAAGAAACGTACTTCCAGGGGTTGAATGTCAAGTATTCTCTGATGGCCATCAGAGCCTTTACCACCAGCCTGCTCTACAATGAAGCTCATGGGAGCACACTCATAGAGCAGCCTTAGCTTCCCATTCTTGCTCTTCTTGTCTCTTGGGTACCCATAAATCCCTCCATACAGCAGAGTCCTATGGAAGTCCCCTACCAAGCTCCCTATGTACCTTGCCGAATATGGCTTCCCTGAAGGGCCCGGGTCCTTCAGATCGTCTATGTACTTCTTCAACTTGTCATCCCACAGCTGGTAATTCCCTTCGTTGAAGGCATAGATTTTGCCTGCTTTTGGGATCTGAATCTTCTCTTGTGTCAGCACGAATTCCCCGTACATGGGGTCCAACGTGAAAGCATACACTCCTTGTCCCAGTGTGACAACGAAGATGACGGAACTGGAGTACATGCAGTATCCTGCTGCTAGCAGGTTGCTCCCTGGCTGGCACACGTTCACCACGCATCTCTGCTCTGCTTTGTCAAGCTGCAAATCAAAATCTCAAGGCATTGAGTTTATAATTAATATGTTGAAGTGAGTGGAGTTGATGAATGTGAGGTTGGGGGACACTAACAGTGGGGTCTTCGCCGACGTCAGCGAGGCACTCGTCGTTGGGGCTGTAGATGCCGAAGATGGATCCCGTGGAGACGGCAGCGTCAATGTTGGAAGAACCGTCAAGAGGGTCAAAGACAACAATGTAGTTTCCTGAATAGCTCTCTTCCACTGCCACTGGCACATCCTCTTCCTCTGACGCTATTATTCCTGTCCTCCCACTTGATCTCAGGCAGTTTGAGAATACCTGAAATTGTTAACATATTCAATGAACCTAAATTAATCTTTTATCATATGATATATCATGTAAACTAACAACTTGATCCTTAAATTCTTTTGTTTCTTTTGCCTGTACTCTAAAAAAATTGATGAGCATACTAATTAGTAATTTCTTGTTTAAATGAAAAAAAAATCATACTACATTACTTTTTTCTATATTTTTGGTGACTTAATACAAAATTCATGTTAAATATATAATCAAAATTAAATTTTATATTTAAAAAGAATCTATATATTAAAATGGCAAATAGTCAGGAAAGGATGGAAATACAGAAATCAGATATAATAAATTGAAGAAACACTTCAACCATCCGTTGTAGTCTAGTTGGTTAGGATACTCGGCTCTCACCCGAGAGACCCGGGTTCAATTCCCGGCAACGGAACGTTCATATTTTTCTTTTTCTAGAATCTTGCAGAACGGCGAAACTACAAACCTCGTTGGAGACGACGTCCAATTTCTTCTGGTCTTCTCCTTGGACGTTAACGGCACCCTGAATCCCTGTGAGGTTCGATATGTTTGCTCTCTGAACCAGAGACGCTATTTGCTTGCACGCCATTGAAATGCTTGACAACACTATCGTCAGCTCTGCGTCTATCACCCCTGCCACCTCTTGCTTCAACAGCCACCCCGTCAGCGTCTCTATCTCATACCCACTCTTTTTCTTCGTCCTCGCCGTCGCTTCCGCCGCCGATCCCACCGCTGCACATCTGAATCCGCCCTCACCCGCTTGCTTTTTCCTGCCGCTGGTGTAATTTGAAGCACAAAGATCTGATTTTGGGTCGAAGACGCATAACTGGAAGGGACAGAGACGCGAGGGAGAAGCAGAGGACGAAGAAGAAGAAGCTGATTTTGAAAAAACAAAGTGGGAGTATGCTGTTGCTGCTGCTACGGCAACCATAGTTATGATTTATTGTTCTTCTTCTTTGGGTCTTTTTTTAAAAAGAATTTTTTGTGTGGAGTTTTGAGCTTCGTCTGGTACTGGGTGAGTGTGGATTGTTTTGTGCAGATGTAAGACTGGGAAGAGATTGAGATTTGTGAGGTGGTGGGTAAGGATCTGTGGTAGTTAGGGACCCACTTATCATCCTCATCTCATTTTCAAAAAAATTGTGATTGGAATTGCTTCAAGAGGCCAGCCTTATTGCCGCGAGGGATTGTCAATTCGACAATTTCTCTGTACTGCATCCAACTGTGAAGAAATCTGGCCTTGCACTCTCATTTTTGGGCGAGATCAACTTGACCTCTTTTTATTATCCGTACAATATATTTATTTTTACGGAACAATGTAAATAAGTTTTTTATATAATTGCGATACAGTGATGCTGATACTTTGGTGAATTTAGCTGACTTAAATGAACTGTACGAAGCTGAATTCATAACTTCAATGTTTGAACACTAATAGAATTTATTGTTGTGCAACACCAATAAGCAATGCCGAATTTAAATTTTACAACCTCTGTAAAAATAATAGATAATATGTTTGTAGGTACTTTTATTTCTAACAAGTCCAGTCCACTATTTTTTTTTCATTTGTTAAAAGAGTAAAAGATCTAAAAATTTTGATTATTGCTTTTGCAGAATAATAAAACCTGATAACTTCCAAGTATTTAAGTCATTAATGATTTAATTGAGTTATACTGAGTGAGCAAAGTTCAATGTGTCGGGTTTAGAAAGTCCACCCTTGTTGGATTTACTTTTATCAAACCTACATTATTGAATGAGGCTCATTTGAATATTAATAAGATGTTTGGGTTCTTGAGTGTAATATTCTCCTTTTTGTGTGTAGGAACAATTTTTAGGAGACGCACCTTTAGATATTACCCATGTATACAGGTGAAAGTAATATAGTGTTGAGGATATAGTTAAATTTGGACAATTAACTCCATAAGGTTATTCTTGATGAATACTTCATTCTTTGCTCCTCTTCCTCTTAGTGGTGCATTTGCTATGAATTAGAGGCAGAATTTGAGTAACTCAGTCATTCACATAAAAGTATTATTTGATGCACTAACAGGTATGCCTTTGAACTCCTAATTTCTACATCAGTATTAGAACATATGTTTGATTTTCTTATAGTAAATAATGCAAATTTCATTTGCCATATATGTTTTGTTATTTTTGTTTGGTTCTATATTTTGTGATATGAACATTTTGTGTGATATCTTGGGTCATAAATGAGTAGACTAAACTTTTGAAAGTTTGTACACGTTGGATGTAAAACTCTCCATGCGAGATACATAATCAAAATTGCCAAACATAAACAAAAACCAAAATTTAGGTTCTTAAAAATGACATTTTTTAAGCAAATGGTTAGTACTATTGTGTAGAGCTCCAAAAAAAAAGGATACCAAAAATGCGCAAAAACAAATGTCAGACAAAGGAGATACGATGCTCCGAAGTTTTAGGTTAGATAGAGAATCGAGTCATCGTGACTTCGTGAGAGGTTGAAGACAACCCAAACTGATATCGTTTCAATGCCCATAAAAAAAAAGTTGTTGTAAAAAAAAAAGAGGGGGGGAAGAAAGTGGTTTAGGCTAAAGAAGAGAGGCCTAACTAAAAAAAAAAGGTTTTTGGGTTTTAAGCCCAATAGTCTAAGGGTTTTTTCTAATTTTTTTCCAACAAAAAGTTCTGGATCTGAGTCAAAAAACTAGTCAACCCTTTAAATAAAATGATAATGTTTTATGTTAAATTAAAAAAGGAAAAAGAAAAAGTGCCAAGTGCCAAGTAGGGCCATCGAAGGATTTAATAGACGCGTGAATCGCACCATTTAAGAGGTCTTGGTGTGTGGAGTTTGTCCCAATGGTGTGTGTAGTCATCTGAGGTCTCTAAGGTGGCACATGGCTTACACTCTTCTTCATTGAAAGTGGGCTTTATTGGAATTTTCCTATCTTTCTAGAATTTTTGAACCGAACTTATTTTAGCGCCTTGTAAGGCCCGTGAAGCATCTGATTGAGATATGGTTTGTTTCTAAAAATTCCTAAATCTAATATCTATATTTTGATATGTAATTTGCTTATTTTTAAGAATATTTGAATCAATTTAAGAGGCTTTCAATGCTTGTGTGAGTGAATTTAAATATAAGGGTGAATTTTAATTATTTAAAAATCATAAAAAATAATTATAGTCATTTAAATTATTTATCATATGGATAAATATGAATTGTTAATACACCAAAAGCACTAAAATGTTGAAGAATATTTCTCTAAAAGGTATTTTAGATAAAACATTTATTCTAAAATGTGATCCTTTGAGTAAGGATTCTGAAAAGAGATGTATAGAGACAAAAGTATCACGTGGTGATGATCTAAAAAATGACCTAAATAGAATAATTGTTGATTCGAACCAAACATGAACCATAATTTAATAAAAGTAAAATATTTTTAGTGAAATGTCAATTGTAAAAGTACAATAAATATGAAGTTTCACAACTAACCTTGAGCAAGTTTTTCTGATGTGAAAAAAGGAGAGAGGACATATGAACAAGTATAAAAAAAATAATACTTATAATAATATAGCATAAATTAATTCCTCAGAATCACTTCTTAGGTGGAGTATTGATGCTTTAAATAAGTTCAATTAAACAAGGAATAATTTTTCTTACCTGAAAGAGTTTGGGAAAATGTTATACTAAATTCATTTCCTAATTACAAAATTTTAAATCTGATTAATTATGAATCATTGAAGAGACAAAGAGATAACTATACATATGTGTAGGGTTGAAGTTAAACTCCTAATATGTTGAAGAAAATAGGAGTAAGGCTAAGGCCATTTATATATGGTTGTCTCGATTCCCAAACTGAAAAATGGTTTAAAAGAAAAACATATGGTCTAACCATATTGGGAAGGATAAGGCATTACAAATGTCCTCTCTAGATTTTGAAGAAGTTAAAAACAAAAATCATCTCATCTAAATGATAAAACAAAATTCCTTATAAAAATTAAGGACATAAATGCTTTTATCATGAAAATAAAAATGATAAAATGATAAGTGATAAGAATACATGAAAGTACCTACTTATATGATTATCTTGTACTATTTGATTTTGTGTTTTCAAATATGTATAAAGACTATGTGTTTGTTTTTTTAGTATCATGAAGTATGTTTTAGACATTATTTTATTAAATGTTTTAATATAAATATTGTTTGCTTTATTTGAGTGGGAACTCTTATAAAATGAGTTTGTTAGTCGTAAATGAAAATCTATTTTGAAATACTCATATAAAATTCTTGGTTGATGTTCATGGCATTATTAGAATCCATGTGATAGGAGATGCAAATGTAGTCTTTTAACCATGGACCTGATGGTGTCATTTTTATTCTAGTTAAGAATGATACAAGTATATGACATTATATGCTTACTGAGTTGTATTGTTGGAATTTTTTTTGGCTCAATTAAATAATAGAAAATACTATTCATATGGAATACTTTTGTAATTGAATTGAGAATAACTGCCAAGAACATAATTGCTGAATTGAATAAAGGGTATAACTTAAACAGGGACAATTGGGATATCTGATACCGAAAGGTATCATACATATTAGAGGAACAAGATGCAATTGAGCCATTGACTACACTAATGATGGATCTTAGAGCTAGGAATATAGCCTAACATAGGAGGGATTGTGAGGCTTACATGGCTTGAAAAAGAAAAACAACATTGCATACATTACCTTATTGAGTACAATAGTTAATGACCTGATGTGCGAGCATAAGAAATACACTACTACAGGCCATGTGGATCGCACTAAAGGATAAGTTTGGAGGTACTTCCACCAAACTAAGAAGGTTGACGATTAATTTTTGACACCCATCATTTGAAGCCCTATACTCATATAAGAAAGCATCTATATGAGATAGCTAACATTATCTAAGAACTAAAAAAAGTTGGGCACATATTATTTGATGAATAGCAAGTTCAGGCTATTATAAGATCACTCCCTTCTAGCTAGCAGTACTTGAAAGTGAATATGACCCATAACGAGAATGTTGTCACTTTTGACAATATAACAAAACATTTTGAGCTCGAAGATGAATGCCTTGAGGCTTATAAATCCTTTAAATTGGCATACATAATTGAGGAAGTTGTTCCTTTTAACACCCAACCTAATTCCTAAAAGGGTAAAAAGGTTAAGAAGGATGGATTAAATTTCAAGAATAAGAAGTCATTTAAGAAGAAGGGCAAGAAACGTGGGAAGAAAATTAACCTAAGAATGGTTGAATGCTATACTTATCATAAAATAGGTCACTTCACAAGGAATTGTCTTGAGTGAAATAAATAGGATAAAGTACTAGTAAATTGAGTCAATACACATATTTCAAATGTGACAAGTGATCTATTTTCTAACAAAATCTATTTATTCTTCTTGAATTATAGACTCAAACTCCACAAGAAGAAATGATAAGGACTAAGGATCCCTCACAGAGTACTGTCACTTGTTGAATTAAAAGAAAGTGGCTTTATATCAGTAACAAGACAAAATTGAGGAATTTGCTTTATTTGGTGAAGAAGACTAAGACTCTTTATAGTGTCTTTTAAGTACCAAAGTACTGACGGAACATTGTTTTTTAATTTTCATATTATAGGTTTATTGTGAACTTTCATGATAAAGTTTCAAACATTACAAAATGAATAATTTATTTTTCATTCAATTTTTCTTTTAGGAAGTTCTTTGGATATTGTTAGTGACAGTCACTTTTATAAATGTTTTAACTTTAATATTGATATGAGTAATAGACGTGCTAAGGTTAGAACATATAAATTAGAATAGAGTGAGTAAAACTAGCTAGATAAGAAACACTAAACTCATTTTCTAATGAGAAAATATTTTTATATGAGAATTGTCTAGCTGATAAAGTAACGAGAAAACCTTTTAGATAAGAGAATTAAAATAAAGTATCCATTACAACTCTTTCATTCTCATTTATATGGTGTTGTAAGTGTGAGGGAAATCACAAAGTTTTAGTAAATTGTTAATAATTATTCATGATATGATCATATGTATTTGATTTCACAAATCTACGG